CGGCATTGCAAAGTGTGGGAGTGGTTGGCGTCTGGGTGTTTACAGGAAGTCGTCTATTGCTGGAATAAAACTACAGAGAGGAAAGAATAAATCGATAACGAAGAAAGAAATCGACGAAGACGAAGACAAAGCTAGCATGACGCAGTAAACAAAAGTACAACGCTCTTACGGTGAAATCCAATAATCAAAACCAACGCTTGTCGCTCGCGAATCATTCAACAATCTCCACCACGGTTCCGACGAACCCTTCAAGTCCAGACTTATCATTGCGGCCACCTTCGAGGAGCAAGATTTGTGATCCCAACTCAACCCACTCCCGGCTGGTCAGCAACTCCAACGTTACCTGGACACCCCCAACGGGTTCCGAAGTTGTCATGGACTCATCGTGATCGTTCATGTTGAAAATGTCTTCCGCGTCATCGACTGATCTCATAGCTTGCTCGTGGCGCACTCTTGACACTCCCATCACTCTGGCGGCTGCTCGTACGCTTCCAACATAGAGATTGACCAGAGACCCGTAGGTCAGGAACGCTGTGTTTGGCTCTTGGAACAACGCTGTCAGTCCACTCGCGGCCTGGAGAGACATGCCTGTATCCACCATGTGCTTTGATGGGATTGCTAGGACCATGCCTTTCCTGATGCGAGGTGCATTCGACAGCCGCTCAAAATCACCCTCTGTGAGGCTCTCGGGCGGCATATCCAGAACGATCCCAATGGTGCCAACTTGACCGGCTTCAAGGGTGTTAACCGGAAGCCTCAGGTTGCGGATGCTGACAATCTTCGCCTTGTGCCATTCTCCCTTGATAGTCGAGGCCGCGACCGTGTTACGTATCGCGATCTTGGCTAGCTCTGCGGAAGAGGGGTGGGATATTGACAAGCCGTAGTTACCTGGAGAGGGCCTATCCTCTGGTGTCATGCCCTTAAAGTCGTCATCGCCAGAAGGAAATGGCCCAACCACAATGGCATCCCCCACGGAGAGCTTTCCGAATCTCAAATAACCCGACACTACAGTTCCAGTGTCATTCTGGTTGGGATTCTCAGCAAGAGAAGCATAGGACGCAGGTAGACTAAAGGTGTCGTCGACGTGGAATAGGCAGGAAGGCTGCTCCGGGTTCAGGGCCATTCCCACAAAGTCATACGCAGTCGGCACAGGTGGTAATGGGAGATTCTCCAAGAGGGCATGGGCCAGTCCTATGCCCGCACCACTGACGGCGCTGGTAAGGACAATGGGTATGTGCTTGAGCAAGTCTCCGCTCTGCTCCATTTCGTTAGTGAGAACTTGAGCCTTGTTGAGCTCTGCCGAGGGAATTCTGCTCCATTCCTGAGCACCACCTGCGGCAGGCTGCAGGATCTTGGGAACCCGGCCAGCTTCTTTGACGTGTGTCAATACTTGTCCCAAAGTTCTCTGCAGACTAGCTTTGGTTGCCAGGTCAAGTTTCGTGATGACAATGACCAGAGGAGTCTTGAGTTTTAGGCACAACTCCAGATGGGCTTTTGCGAGGTCTACACCTGCGCCTGCGATTCCGAGGACTTCGTTGGCCGTCGAGCTGGCACCATCCTTGGTAGAGCTGGCTTCATTGTCGTCAGCGGCCAAACACAGAACTGTCCATTGGGGAGCCCAGCCGAACAATCCTCGGAGAATGGTGCGGCGGTATCGAGGGTGCCCGGCAGAGTCGGAGACAAAAACCAGGCGGCCATTTTCGGCGCTGTCGTGGATATCGATCCATGATTCGACGTGGTCCTGGGAAAAGTTGAAGATGGCGTGATCCTTATACCCAATGAGCTCTTGGGCTACCGAGCTGGTCAAACCGGAGGCGACCTCATGGCGATGCTTGAAAAGACTGATACGACTCTTCCCACGGCCGTTGTCGAGAGTTCCAGTAGACAATGTCCCCAGAAGAGTAGATTTACCAGACGTTGTTGGTCCCGTGAGCGTTATCCTAAGCTGGTCGGTCGTCGAACGACCCCTGCTTGGTAACACGACAGGTTCATTGGCTCTAGGAGACTGCTTGATCTCCCGGTGGCCACTCTCGGGGGTTTCTGCAAGAGAATGTTTGGCTGAGAAGTCCGGAGTCACCAATGCCTCAACCACCCAGAGCCTTGCTTGTCGTCCAATCTGGGCCGGCTGCGATGCTACATTGTCGACCAATTCGGACGTTTCCAGCCACTCGCATTCCCCCACGATAACATGACGAAGGATTTCAACTCGGCAACCCAGCGTGGCCGCCATGACCCTAAGAGTTGTGATACTCTCATCCATCTCGTCTTTTGTCAATCCCACCAGGGTTCCGTCGTCAGCCACGCCGATCTCGTACAGAGCACCGCGAGATTCTTCCAGTCCCGGGAGCGGCTTCTGCGGAGTCAACGCCTGACTCAAGTCGGCCGTGTCATCAGGCAATTTGGGAACAATCAAGTCTTTGGGGTTCAAGGCATGGTAGGCACAGGACTGCTGCAATCTCCAGAGCAGCTGCGTCGTCAATTGCTGTAGGCGCACCTGGCGACTCTGGCTCGATGCAGATAGAGCCGCAGGCATAACCTTGGCAGGTCGCGTTGCGGAAGCAGAAGTCTTGGCATGCTGGGACGGCGGCTTGCCAATTGTGCTCATTGAGGTGTAGGTCCGTCTCGGTCGGAGGAGCAGGTGAAGCTTGTACTCAGTCGGTCCCTCCTGAGGCTCTGCTTCCAATTTGGTGACTCCGTAGTCAGAGAGGTGGCCAGGCTGAGGTTCCCCATTTTCCGAGGGAGGTTGAGATTTTGGTATCCTCCCCAGCTCTTCCGGAGCCAGCCACGGGGAGGAGACCCGTTGAGGGTCAGTTTCGAAGGTGAATATCGATCCGGAGGCCATGATTGATGCTCAGGCGGTGGTGGGTTCAGTGGCGGATTCTATATGCCTAATGTCGATAATGGACAAGGCCAATATGGGAATAAGCGTGTTTTGTGATGAGCTATTGCGGGAACAAAGGTGGAATGACGAGTTGCTATACGCGGGATCATCTTGAAAGCTGAGGTAAAGATTGCTTGATGCGGTGATTCAAGTTCAGGCGTCGTTGACGACAAGTGATGGCTGGATAGAGCTCAACTAGAAATCTAGTTGGAGGCCATTGCGGATTCTTAGGTGAGTTCAGGTCGATAGATGATGTCGTAGAAGCGGGAGGTGGCAACCGTTAAAGGCGCATTCAAGGCGTGGCGAGCTGTTCGGTTGAGGACGTTGAAGTTCTCGAAAGACGGTATGACTCGGAGACGGTGAGGTCTCAGCCAAGGTGTGACGCAGCGAACGTGGATGGACAAGCCAGGTGGGATCGAAGGGTCCTTCCTGTCTGGTGGCTTAACCTTGCCTGCGCTGCGGAGAAAGTGCGGGTGACCTACTAGCGCCTTCTGCCCGCGGTGAATCACTCCCCGGAACCCACAGCAGCAAGTGGTTCCCAGTCTGGCAGCGCCGCTTTACCAAGCCAGCCTTCTCCTTCCTCAAGGCACCTTCATGATGCTGATACTCGCTGCTGACGATGATGATGTACAGGACAAATCATGCGTGAATCTAGTGAAGGCTTCCAAGTGAATGTCTACCGACGGGCAGTACGGACAGGAACAGGCGTGGTGTCAAGTCATGACATCTTAAAAGCGGCGGTACCAATTGCCGTATTGCAGGTGAGGTCTGTCTCCCTCACTGTCACTGTCTGACTTGTTGCTGCAGACTTTGGCCCCACTTGGGTACCAAGGCTCCTGGCAGCAGGCTAACCTACCCGCGACCGCCTGCCTGCTCCTTGCTATTTCTGCAAGCACTAGGTGCTGGAGATGTACCTCGGTACTTCATCACCCCAATACGCACCCAGGGTCTTTCTGTCGCTGAGCTGTTTGGCTGCCCCTCCTGGAACGCTGGAGCGCTGGATCGAACATGGTGTTGAAGAAGTGATGGAGCACTCGACGGAACTCATTAGTTTCGAAGATCACCCAGGTCCGCTGATCTCCCTTCTCCTTTTTGACGAGATCAGATGCGGACCTCTTGCTGAAATTGAGCGTATTACTCTCTGCTGAGTGTGGTGCAGCCGACGAAGAGGCTGGCATGAGTATTTTTATGCTTTCGTGGCCGCAAGACAAACGCGCTCAGCTTACTCATGCTCGACACCGTCTGTATTACTGCATATGCGTCCAGACTGAGGACCTTGGTTGCGGATAAGTCAGACCCGGAAGACAAAGCTGAGCTGAAAAATGTCAGGACAATGGACGAGGTACACGAACGTCCTTGACGCTAGACCCGAGGCTGAGCCAAGCATGCAGCGCCGTCATAGGCTCATGGCGACGGCCATTCTTTACAGCCCACTATGCGCCACGGAAACATTCCAATTGTCGGCTGCCTACCGACAAGAACTGACTGACAGCGGCCACTTTTAGAGCGTGAACCGTCTCTTTCTCGAAATCGCGAATCGCTCCCCGCCAGATGCAGATGCAGCGCTGACCCAAGCCCAGTCGCATGTCGAGCGCTTGTTCCAGACGACCTGCACAGTTAGGCCGCGCTGTTCGCTGACTGCCCCTAACCCCTCCGGCCCAGCCCAATCTTTTGCCCATCTCAGTCAGGTCCTAAACAGCCTGGCCTGACGAATGTTTTATGGCTTAGACCCTGAGGGGCGCATCCGCTCGTCTTCGAAACACACCCAAGACGGTCCCGATTTTGCCACATAAAGCTGCAGTAAGCCCGCAGTCGGTAGGCGGTACTTGCTTCCAATTCTAGGTACCTGCACCTGCAACCCCTGCCACCCGCCCGCTCGCCGTCTCCAGTAATTGTCCTGTCCATCCTCTGAGGGTTGCCTCTGCTACACCGTGTCCGTCCTTCAAATCTTCTCCTGATCTCTTTTCTTACCTTTCTAGATTAACTTTCTGCAGAGCACGTTGCCTCGTGTTTTGCTTCCTTCCAGAATACCTCTACGATCGTATTTCAGCCGTTGCCCAGCTTCAACACCCCACCCATCGACAATCTAGCATACAATCCCAATTCCGCCCCAGCTATCATGAAGAAGTTCGGCTTCGGTAAGAAGAGCGGCGGCGACGACGGCGACGACGCCAGCCGCTCTGCTCTCTTCGGCAGCAAGAAGAACAAGTCCCCCGCACCCGGCTCCGACAACCCATATGCTCAAGCACCCGCTGGCAACGACCCCTACGCCCAAGACAACAACAAGTATGCCAACATGACGCCCTACCAGGCAGCCCGAGCAGGCAACACTGCTCCTGGCGGTGTGCCCGGTGGCCTCCCCAGCGGACCTCGCGCTGGAGGCGGTTACGGCGCTCCTCCCCAGCCTGCGGGAGGTTATGGAAACGAAAAGTACGGCGCTGCTGGTGGCTACGGAGCCAATCGCTACGACAACGCCAGCCAGAACGCCTACGGTGGCGCTGCTGGAGGGGCTCGTGGTCCTGGTGGTTACGGAGGTCTGGGCCGAACCAACAGCAACGATACCGACGCTCAACGTGATGAACTTTTTGGAGGAGCTCAGGATCGCTACCAGCAGAAGCAGCAGCCTCCTGGAGGATACGGACAGTCTGGAGGATACGGCGACGAGGGCGCATCTGGCGCCGGCGGAGGTTACGGTGGTTATGGAGAGAGCCGTGAGCTGACTGCTGAGGAGCAAGAGGCAGAGGAGTACCGTGGTATCAAGAATCAGATCACCGAGACCAGACAAGAGTCTGTGAACACCGTAAACCGAGCCCTGCAAGCGGCTTTGCAGGCTGAGGAGACTGGTCGCTCGACACTCGCGAGACTGGGAGCTCAGGGAGAACGCCTCCACAACACGGAACGAAACCTGGATCTGGCCGCGAATCACAATAAGGTTGCGGAGGACCGAGCCAAGGAGCTCAAGACCCTCAACCGCAGTATGTTCGCTGTGCATGTCAACAACCCCTTCACATCCAAGTCTCGCGCAGCGGCGCGCGACCAAGCGGTTCTTGACCGTCACCGCCAAGAGCGCGATACTCGTGAGCAGACCAGAAACGCCGCTTTCCAGTCCAACCAGCGCATGGAGGAAGCATTCAAGGAGGTTTCGCTTTCCGGCCGCCCACAAGGAAACACCAGGTCAAGCGCAGCTGAGCGATCTAAATATGTCCTCGATGATAGTGATGACGAGGGCAATGATTTGGCTCGTCGCCAAGAAGATGAGATTGACGACGGCCTGGGACAGCTAGAGGGTGCCATGGGTCGTCTTAACGGCTTGGCCAGAGCCCAGCTGAGGGAGGTTGAGACACAGAACACTCTGATCAGCAAGATCAGCGAGAAGGTACGAGCATTTCGTTCTTTCATACTGTCCTATGACTGTGTGGCTAACACGTCTTGCAGAGCGATGCTGTGGACGACGCAACCAGGATGAACAGAGAACGCCTGAACCGCATCAAGTAAAATAGAGCATCATGACAAGATCTGGCAACAAACTCGGCGGGCTTGGTGTGCTCGCAAAAGATAAGCCCACTAGCAGAACGTCAATCAACAGTGGAAGTAAGAGCTTCCTCTATAGACTGGATGTGTTCTTGGTATACACAGGAAGTGTGGCATCGACGGAATTAGAAGTCTTCCAACTTGTACACCTCGTATGCGGGAACCTCGTATGGGTGCGCGCTGTATTCATTTTCAGTATTCAATGCATATGACTCGCCAAACATGTGGACAAAGATACCTCATCAGAGCCGCTACCGCGGCTTTAGTGACATCCCGTCCAACGCACACAACCTCGACCTTGTACTCGAGGACCTGCTCAAGCTCGTCGACGGTGCCGGTGTGAGGATCCGCTCCAGCAGCCGCCACGGGCATGAATTGGCCTTGGCCCGTAATCTGGAAGGCAACCTGGACGTATTTGCCCTCGTAGACGCCGGCGCCGGTCTTGAAGACGGCTTCCTTGGTTGCGACCAAGTGAGAAGCTGCAAGTTGGTAACAACATCAGTGAACGCCGCCGTTGACAGGTACATTTGATTTCAATGCGCACCAGGAACAGTCCAGTAGAGCTTGAATCGTTCGGTCATGTTTGTAGTCGTGGTGATTTGTCGATGGTGAGATGTTGCCAGCCTGATCTTGTTGCTGAGGAGGGGTCTTATACCGGTGCACGAGAGGGGAAGCACATGAGGGTGACGCAGCATGCAATTACCGCGCAGAACCACCCCCAGAGCTGGACTCCGAATCGGCATAGTATCTTTACAGATAGCGACGAACAATGTAGATGCGTCCGACTTACGGCTTCATGTTATTCAGAAATACGCATCTGCTCAGATCGCCGACCCGTCTAGCTCACTGAGATAGCACAGTGCCGCCCTGTAGAAATGCGGGGCCTACCGCCTAATCGGGTCCCGACGAAAACCGGGGTCTGGGCCAGGGGACCCTCAAAAATTCTTACATCGGCTCTCTCACTCAACGTCAATCGGCGATTACTTCTCACGACCTGCTGTCGTTCAACATCACTTCATAATGCCACCAAGAACTGACGGCGAGCGCGCCGCGAAGAAGAGAAAACTTAACGACAAAAATGTTATCAAAGTCGGAAACAAAGTGATTTCTCTGGATGGCTACTTGAATCCTCCCGCCAAAAAGGAAGCCCCCAAGAAACAGGATCAACAACAAGAGACGCCCAAACCAACTGATGAAGAGGCTGCGAAATCTGAAGGGAAGGAAACAGAGAAGCCAGAGAGAAAGCCTCAATTTTCGAATAGACCGCCGTTCAAAAAGCCATTCGACAAGAGTAAGACGAGATCAGACCAACGAGGCCCGAGATGGAGGGACGATCCAGCCCTGCTTAAGGTCCGGCAGAAGCTCCCGATCTGGGCTCATAGGGAGGAAATCCAAGAGCGGATGCGTGGAAAGGATGTTCTTCTCCTCGTTGGTGAGACGGGTTCCGGAAAGAGTACCCAGGTACCCCAATTCTTGGTGAAGGAGCCTTGGTGCAAGCGGCAGACCGTCAACATCGATGGCGGAAGGGAGGTCAGTGTTGGCGGTATGATTGCCGTCACACAGCCTCGTCGAGTCGCCGCCACGACCCTCGCCCACCGCGTTTCTCGCGAAGCAGGTAGCCCTCTCGGCGAGGGCCGTGAGGGAATGGTTGGGTACTCGGTTCGTTTCGATCACCAAGTGCCTAAGGGGACCAAGATCAAGTTCCTTACCGAGGGTATGCTCCTGCAGGAGCTTCTCCGGGACCCCAATCTGCGGCAGTACAGCGCCGTCGTTGTCGACGAAATCCACGAGAGAAGCGTCGATGTCGATCTGGTGTCTGGCTTTCTGAAACAGATTGTGATGAGCGACCGGAAAGGCCGGGGAGGCATCCCCCTCAAAGTCGTTGTCATGAGTGCCACTGCCGATGTTGAGCGCATTCAGGGCTTTTTCGCGACCGACAAGCCCCAGGTAGAAGGCGATAGCGCGGAGATGGATGGGCAAAAGTCGAGCTCGGTCGAGGTTCTCAAGATCCAGGGCCGTCAGTTCCCAGTCAAGACGATACACACGCCCAAGCCCGTGCCCGACATCCAAGAAGCCCTTTTGAAAACTATTTTCAAGATTCACACGGAAGAACCGCTTCCTGGAGACATTCTAGCATTTCTCACCGGTCAGGAAGAGATCGAATCTACGCAGTCGCTCATCGAAGAATACGCAGCGACCCTTGATTCCAATGTTCCCAAGGTCAAAGTCCTACCGCTGTTCGGCCAGCTCTCTATGGAGGGCCAACACGCAGCGTTTCAGCCTATCAAAGGCATGACCAGAAAGATTGTGCTAGCCACCAATATCGCCGAAACGTCTGTTACCGTACCCGGAGTGCGCTACGTGGTGGATGGCGGAAAGGCCAAGGTCAAGCAGTATCGCTCTCGCCTGGGCATGGAATCACTTCTGGCTAAACCTATCTCAAAGTCGTCCGCCATTCAAAGAACTGGTCGTGCCGGTCGTGAGGGCCCCGGAAAGTGCTTCAGGTTATACACTGAAGGGACATTCGGCACGCTAGAGGAAGCGGATTTGCCAGAAATTCTGCGAATCGACGTTCTCGGGGCTGTACTCACCATGAAGGCCAGAGGCATCGACGACATTCTCGGCTTTCCCTTGATGGATACCCCAGACATCGATGCCATTGAGCGGGCTCTCGTCAGCCTACACCTGCTCGGCGCACTGGCTGACGACGGCACCATCACTGACGCAGGCCGCAAGATGGCCGGTTTCCCTGTCTCCGCGCCCCTTGGCGCCGTCCTCTTGGCATCCGCCAAACCTGAGTTCGACTGCGTCCTCGAGGCAATTGACGTAATCTCATGCATCACGTCCGGCGACGACATCTTCCACCAGTTGCAATCAGAGGAGCAGCGCGAGGAGATCGAGGAGCTTCGCAAGGAACTATACCGCCGCGAGGGTGATATCCTCACTTACCTCACCACGATGCAACAATACGCCGCCGAGAATGCGGACCGTATCGAATGGTGCAAGAAGAGAAAAGTCAACATTCGCAACATGAAGACCGCCCTCAACATCCGCAAGCAACTCCGCAGCTTGTGCCTGAAAGAGGGACTGCTCTCCGAGGCCCCGCCGCCGGACCCGCAGCCGTTCAGCCCGTTGGCCCCCGAACAGGCCGAGTCGCTGCTCAAGTGCTTCCTCCGCGGCTTCGTGTCCAAGACGGCTGTGCTGGCGCCGGACGCGAGCTATGTGACGTCGCAGGGCAAGCACGTCGTGGCGATCCACCCTTCGAGCGTGTTGCATGGGCAGAAGAGGGAGGCAATCATGTTCCTGGAGCATGTCTTTACACAGAAGAATTACGCAAAGAAGGTAAGCGTGATTCAGGCTAACTGGATCGTGGAGGCGTTGGGAGGAACTGCATAGATCTACATAGACGCGACGATGTAATACCCAAGAATATAAAAGAGGAGAAATTGTCAACATAAGCATGGCCTTAAGGCTTAAACAATGCATTGCTTCTATACATAGATCTACATGAGGTGTTTTGTACAACGGCGTAATTTCCCTAGCCAACATGTCACTATGACTCCTCGCCATCGCCCTGCTGCTTGCTGCGGTCCTTGATTGCCTGCATCAGCTCATAAAGCTGACCAATTTGCTCATCTAGGAGAGTGAGTTGTCAGCTAATTCACTGCCTATCCTTCCAGGACCATGATACGTCTTTACTTACCGCTCATCTTGGCGATCTTAACAGGGTCGATCTTGTCGCCCTTCCACTGGTCTCCCTCCACCTTCTGAGCATACAGTTGCCATTCTGTGAGGAAGCCGATCTGGAACGGTGCGTTAGCTTGTCTGAAAATCTTCGTCCTGGGTACTTCGCGGACATGCGCAGATGCGGTCTGGGTGTTGTGTCTCTCCATCCCTGTGAATGGCATTTGCCCGGACGGAGACCGCCAATCACATGTAGCGTATTACAACACCAACCCACGAAGAGATCGTATACACTGTGTTGAGGGAAGCTTATTCGGGTTTAGACGCTAAGGAAGCATAGCATCCCAAAGATGCGCTTTTGGAGGCGAAGGAAAGGAACAGGACATCGGGTCCAGGAGAGAACATACCAGATGTGCTGGGTTGTCCACGGTGCGGTGCGCGCGGAACTCAGCCTTGATGTACTCATCGCCCAGCAGCCTCATCTCCGTCGGCAGGTACTTTCGGTGTGCGCGGAGGAGACGTCTGTACAGCGGGATGGGCGGAAGAAGGGCCATCGGTGTGTTCCCCAGGCCCTTGGGGATCGAGGCCGAGGCCAATCTGATGAGTGACGGCCGCATGATGTGTGTCCCGTCTTTGGTGTGCCTTTGGCAGTAAGGGTTTGCGGTGAGCCCTTGTTGGATATAGCGGCCCTTTATTAGAAGCCGGATTCAACGTGGTCTTTGAAACTTGATCGGTTGTCTTCAGTTCTCCGAGAATGGACGCCGGCTCTTTGGTTCGCTTCGTGATGATTCAAGTTTGTGGTCCATCTTGAGAGTGATCGATGTTGTCATTGACGCATTTTCCGAGGTCTAGATGGACCCATACAGTGTGTATTCGGGTAGTGCACACAGTCTACGTTCAGTTCGATCCGAACCATTCGAACAATTCCAAATATAATTTACAATTAGTGTAGTCTTTTGTCCAATTTCTTATTTTTCATCGTCTTCTTTCTTCTGCTTGAAGAAATGGTTCTAAATTGTGGTCTGAAGCTATTTGCTGATAAATCCGGTCAACATTATCCATATTGATAACATTGCCTCGTAGTTGTCGAAGCTTTGCACACGAGGACACTAACGTCCTCCGTTATATTCCATCTTCTGGGTTTCATCTGGCTAATGATTGCATCTAAAAACTCCCATGCGTTCATCTCCATGTTACAACACTCCTCAACATCCTCTCGATGAGCCTCTATAAACTGATACCCGTTGCCATTGAACGGTGAACGATAGCGACAGGCGCGGACATTCGACTTCACAGTCGCGCCGTACTGTACCAGATGAAGGCTTCCCCAGAAGCTTTGGGAGGTCTTCCTGTGCTGGTCTGGTATCAGGCGTAGTAGCTGAAGGAACAGTCCACGTGGACCCGGGAGTTGTCTCATTTTCGAAGCTGTATCTTTCGTAGGGTTGAATGCCCAGGAGGCGTCGTACTCGAAGGCGAAAGACTCGGCAGTACTTCCGGGATTATTAGGTATGCATCCGAGTTGCCTCAGTGCTTGTTGGATATCATGGATCTTGAGGCTCGGAGGAACTTGCAGGCAAGTCATATCTCGTCGACGGAGGAACGGAATGGCTGTTTCGCGTCCGTTGTATCGCACAAAGCGCGTGCCAGTATAATGGCTTGCGTTGAGTCGCACATCGCGCGTGCCAGGGATCAGGTAGTTGTATTGAGGAAGAGTACTGTATGTGCGGCGGAAGTGCTTGCCTATGACCAGTCTTGACTCTTTGCAGGCGTACCATAGACCGTAATCGCACAAGGAAATGTCATTTTCTGACCATGGACGTGGTAGATGAGAAATTGAGAAATCTGGCGGCGTGAGGAAGTATGATATTCTAGTTCGACCGTCGTCGTTTAGTGTTTCTGCGCCCACGGAGAAAAAGTGAGCCCCGCGAAATTTTTGTTGGATGGCAAAGGCCCATATCATCAGACGAAGTTCGAGAGGTAGTTCCGAGAATGGTTCGAACATCATCGTTGAGTCGGAACCGAAGGCTGTATGCGAGGAGCAGGGGTTGGTTTGGATGGCAAAACCGGTGAGTCGTGTCGGTGTTATGTACTGTCAACGGAGAATTAGACGATAAACCCGCAGTTCGCATTCGATTGGACAAGAAGACGAGGTGTTTGGATACAAAACTTTAAGCAACCCCGCGGTTCTTCGCTTTCTACCTCTACGGCCCAGCTAAATCCATCCGTGTGAGCATTGAGTGGCTGCTTAAAGCGCCTACCACGCACTACGATATGACTCATATGAGTCTGAAATTCCCTAATAGACTAGCTAATTCTCTTGTTTCTGGGCGGCTACATTTCTTATGTATGTGGTGACTTCGACAAGGACGAGAACGACGGACAATAATGAGGGACGACGACAGCGAGCACGCAGGAAATGTAGTCGCTCCAGCACGGGACAAACAGGTATTCTATTCTACAATATCTAATATAGGTATCTGTCATTCATGTCTTGCAGAACATAGTTGCTATCCCCGACTCCAGTAAAGGCTTCTCCCTGCCACTGTACTTGTGCGAGCTCCTCGACACCCAAGAGCCGGCCGTCTCTCATCTTCCCCAGGTCTGCCTCCGCCTTAACGGTAAGCGGATGCTGATTCTCAAGCACTTCCAGCCGACCGTTGTAGCATTCTTCTTGGAGGTCCAACGCCTCGTCCACCTGCTTCTTCTGGTACAGAACCCCCGCCAGGCACTCAATGGTCGCGAGCGTGTCGAGATGTGTCCGCCATAGCACCCTATCGCTCGCCTCCAAGACCTCACGTAGCATCTGTTCCGCCTCGTCGAGCCGCTCGAGCTTCACGCAGCCGACGGCCACGTTACGCTTCGAGGTCAGCGTGTTCGGGTGCTCCTTGCCCCTGAACCGCTCGTCAACCTCCAGCACGTGCCGCCACATGTCGTCCGCCTTCTCGTGCTCACCTCTCTCGGAACGCAGCGTCGCGAGGTTGCTGATGGCGTTCATGGTCATGCGGTGGCCGGGGCCGACGGCGGGGTTTTTGAGGCACAGTTCCAGTATGCGCGCCTCCAGCTTCTCCGCCTGATCGTTAATCCCCGCCAGCTGCATCGTCACCGCCAGCGCGGCAAGGGCGCGGCGGAACTGCGGGTGCTTTGAGCCCTTCTTCTCGGCCTCCTCTATGATGTACACGAGCATGTTCTGGGCTTTGCCGAGCTCCATCTTCTGGATGAACACCTCAGCGAAGTCGATGCCGATGCTATGGACATGTTTCGCTGCCCAATCTCTTGAAGAGCAGTCATTCACCAAGTCGATGCATTCATGGAAAAGCAGCACTGCCTCGTCGAACCTGCAGCAGGCCTTGTTCAGCTTGGCGAGGGCCCAAATACCGTCCGGAACCAGCCAGTGTTCCGGCTCAAGGTTATCACGCCGCTCCTGGACGGTCTTTTCGAGAACGTGGAGCGCCTCGCGCCACATGCCGACATGCTGCAGGAGCTTTGCATACTTCGTCTCTTGCCTCGTCTCTTTGAACCAATCGCCTCCTTCAGGTGCTCCATGCTCCATGATCGCCTTGAGGTGCAGTAGTAGCCGCGCGGTGAATCTCTCATCTTCGAACCGGAACTTCTGGTCGAAGGAGTCAAAGATGATGGAGCGCGCCGCATAATGATGAAAGCTGTACGCATCCTCGTGCATGCGGTCGCGGGCCCAGCAATGTACCAAGATATGCATCGAATGCCACTCGTCGTTGATCACCGCCTTCTTGATCAAAGAGTAGCTCTTCAAGAGACTAATGCCATCAGTATAGTTGGTGGAATCCCAAGACTTATCACCCTTGAGGTTGAACAGGGCCAGAGGCGCAACGCTTTCCTTATCGCCCAATACATCTCTGTCGAATTTGTCATTCATCGCTGCTCGGCTGATTATCTCATCGGTGAGATTTTCGTTGTGGTAGAAGCAGAAGATGCAGAGGATCCGGAGTGCGTTGAGAGCAGCCCGCCCCTCCCGGCTGTTGTCTTTTGACTTCGCCTCCAACGCCTTGTAAGACAACTCGAAAGTGCCGTACACTGCTGGGTTATCGTTGAAAGCGCCACGGCCCATTGACGGATCTTCCATGAGCTGCTTCCGCCCACTTTGGAACCCGAACAGGTAGTCTCCGAATGTGCAGTCTTGCATGTGGATGTAAGAGCCTGCCTGATCGATGGCGAGCGGAAGATAGCCGAGCTCCTTTACAATTTGACCAACAAGCTGCTCGTTGTCGCCATGTAGCAATTGATCTTCCAGCTTAGACGACCGCAATAGCAATGTGACGGCGTCTTTTTCGTCCATAATGTCAACAGCATACGTCTGATTATGATCCAACGTAGGCTTGATGTCCTTCCGTCTACTCGTGAAGAGGATATTCCCCGTGTTCCCGGCTGGGATGTACTTGCTAACGTCGACGGAGTCAGAGTCGTTGTTGTCAAAGACCAGAAGCCACTCTTCTGGGCGGTTTTGGGACAGCCAGTTGAGAACGCCGGTGATGTTGGGTCTGCTGGGGTTTCCGCCGTAGATCTGCGCCGTCACCTTTCGGAAACTTTCGTAGATAGAGTCCGTGGTGGCCGCGTTGATCCAGAAGACATGGTTGAACCTGCGTCAGCATATATTAGCAGCTTGAATAAGAGATTACCTGTTGACACACGCACCGAGAGCCATTCAGGTCTCTGAACTTCAAGGCGATCTGCGTCTTTCCGACACCGCCCATGCCCCAAATTCTGAAAAGCCTCCTAGGCGACGACCCAGGCCCCCGTTCACAAAAGTGTTTGTCGAGTTTGCCGAGAATCGCGGCTCTCCCAGTGAACTGGGGGCTGGATATGGTCCTTTGCCGGACGTCCTGGACCATGGCGTGCCGGAATGCCTCATATGAAGTAGCACGGCCTCGAGTCTGTTAGCAACGGCGGCTACTCAATCATGACACCGAGGGATCAAACTAACAAGTAGCCTCTAGGGGCATCTCGACGCCCTCCTTATTGTGTAACATGCTGACGATTTTGTCAATGGAAGCCGATACCTCGTCCTTCTTCAGATACTTCTCCGTAGCCTCCCTTAGGAGCTTCATCTTTTTATACTCGTTCAGCTTAATATCTGCAGCGCCCTTGTCCAGATTAAGTCGAAAGTAAGCGTTGGGGATAGCGCGGAACCACTGGTCGAGTTCGTTGTGGGTGCGTTCGGGATCCGTCAACGACGTCTTGATGTGTTTATACACAGGCAAACTGTCCCATGACAGCAGAGACCCGCTAAGAGTCCGAACAGGCTTCCTTGTTAACTCAAGAGCGTGCTCTACCGCCTTTTCAGCATCGGCCTCGACCTTGAACGCCTTATCCGTGATTTTGAGCCCCGTGCCCAAGCTCAGGAGAAACCCCAGCTTCCGGTCGGAACCCAGATACGAGTCGGCCTCGTCGAGGACGAGCTTGGCAGGGTTGTTGTAGGCCAGCGCGCCGTCATAGTAGTATTCCTTCACGGCCTCGACCTTGATGTGTATGGGGTTGAAGAAACCCGGAGCCGAAGACGTCGCCCGGGCAGCCTCCCAGATTTCGACATTGTGTGCGTGGTTGGACTTGCCCCTGTAGGTGCGGAACAGATACGCCTCGAACATGTTACTTCGCGGCACGGAGCATACAAAGGCGTGGCCGAGGCTATTCCGGTCTCTTGTTTCGTCAATCATGACGGTCGTCTTCAGCGCCCTCGCGGCGACAATGTCCCGGATAACGTTCTCGAGCGTCTTTTCCTTGAATGTGCGTTCAAGGAGCCGTCGGTTGCTTTTTCTGAACACTGTTTCCGCAAAGTCTTCGTAACCTTTTATAGCTTCTTCGGTCGTCATCCCCATGCGCCCGAGGAGGATGGCGATGAGTCTGCGAAGCGGTGTGTTCTGTCAGCGAAAAAAACGTGTGTTGGTTCACTTGTTGGAACGGTGCCAACCAACCCTCCAGTGCTTGTACCACCTATCAAGTGGAAATAGTCCCTCGGCTTGGGCAATTCTTTGAGCCCAGCTACTTTTTGCAGTCTCTTCATTATCTCGTGTAGTATGACAAGCTCGGATATCCCCCTAACCCCGCCGCCGTCGAGAGATAGAAGGTAAACCGGATCATTGCTGGTATCCTTGGCGTCTGCCATTCTTACTTTACTCTGGATGCAATGTATGATAACAGCTCAAACATGCATGTCATAAAGAACCTCTATAACAACAAACAATTGTTTCGAAAATGGTATCGCAGAATCATGAAGTCGTTATATCGTAGTGTGTGTGTGATAGTTGAGACCCAAAACCAGTGCAACTTCGCATCAGTCGCGGACACCGGGGGATGAAGTACTTCTTCAACCAAACCAACCAACACAGATTTGCGAGCGGAGCCGACCTCCTCGGAAGCCTTGAACACGAGGGAAAATTCTGGTCCAGAGAACGCGTGATAAGCGCCCTGCACTCGCCGGGGTTGGAAGAGGGGGGCATGGCCACAAGACATGCACCAACATGCTTGAGAGCTTTCCCTCTCTGGACGGGCACGTTTCATCAAAAGACCTCGCCCACCGCGAAGACCATCAAATTGACTCAGCTCGACCCAAGGGGATGGTTCTGCCTAACTGGAATGCCAAAAAACCGGATCATCCGCCGGTCAAGTCTGCCTATCCGCAGAACCCCCTGGTTCCTGGGGGTGGCGTTGAGTGTTGGTAATCGTACGTGCATGCTCAGGCAATGTGCCTTGAGATAGCAGACCTGTTCGTCAGCACGTCTGCGTCTGTTGATGCTTCAAAAAGGGCAATGCGCGCTTCCGAAAGTCGGTGTATTCGATGATGAAGACGTCAAATCAATATCTTAAGCGTCGATGTGTAAGGTGGGTGAAAAAAAGAGCTCGATGGGCCATTGGAGAGGAGGATTATGCTTGTAAGCGCCGCTATGGGGCGGACCGGACCGCTGAACAGGATGCGCTACGGGCGAGTTGGTGGGCGGGACGAGACCAGACTGTTCCCGGAGGCCACCCACTCTATCCATGTGTTCCGGGTTAAGCTAGGTGGTCTCAGGACTTTGAAAATCATGGCTCTTGTGTGCAACAGTTCATGTGGGCATGGGAAAATTGATATAGATACTCGGACCCCCATGAAACAGTTTCGCACCGGGCAGCCTGCACTGGATGATTTGAAGTTCAGATTTTTAAATTGGGAATATGGATAGTAAATGTAGGCTTATATCATCAGGTCGTCAAGCACTCGCTTTATGCCTTATCGTTTCTGGAAGTCGCCTAGAAAGATGTGAAAATATTAAAATATTCAAGAAAACAGCCTCCGAGATCCACGTCCTTCTATCCCAGATGGGGCACAATCACCGGGCCATACTTCGTTGGCGCCGTGAAAGCGCCGTCGCCCTGGACCACGAAATCCACGGCCAAGCTCAGCTTCGTCAGGCCCTGGCCGTTGGCCTGGTTGGCTGCGTACTGAGTGCCCGGGATGGCCTCCGGGTCGTAAGCGACCATGGCGACGTAGTTTCTGCGGCCCATAAGCTTCTTAAGCTCACGCGCTGAGCCGCTGGCATCGGTGTGGAAGATCTCCATCATGTCCTCCTTGGTGTCTGACACCTCGTGGTTGGACTTGTGGCCGTTTTGAGGCACGTAGAGGCTCTTGTTGTTGTGGAGCAATTTCAAAATGTAGTTGCTGGCGGGTTGGGCGACAATGGGCGACGTGATGATTTGGTACATTGTCTTGTGGTCGCTCGGATGAGTAGGATCATGAACCAAGCCTGCTCCCGCACAATTGACGTCTGAAATGCATTAGCTCTGGCTGACGAGTGCGGCAGGGGTTTAGCTTACCTCCTGACATGAATGTCATGCGAATTCCCTTCTGTTGTGCGATGCCCTGGAGGGTCCTGATGAGGTACGTCCTCTCCAGATCCTTCGACTCGTGAGTCCACATGTCCTTCAACACCTCCGCGAGATCAATCTCTCCGAATTGGTTGAGGACATTGCCCATGAGACCAGACTTTCCGACGGCCTTCTTTACCTGCGTGAAGCCCTGTGCCACGACCTCCTTTCCACCAACAACACCGGCCACCGAACTGGTGACCTTGCCGAGCAAGTTGTATGACATGTTGACCGCCTTTTTGCCGGTAGTGACTGCAGTGGCCAAGCTCTCGACTGCCTCAAGACGAGGGTAGACGAGAGGAACTGACACCATCCAGATACAGTGCTGCACGCTGGGAGGTAAGGTTGCGACCTTGGGGAAAAGCCCCTGGTAGGTCGGGCCGGCCATGACCCGGGTCTGATTTCTCTCAGATCGGCAGTCGGGTCCAACGACAACGACAGCTGGTCCGAGATACTTCACAAAGTGCCAGCCCTGGCCGGTGATTGTGAACAAGTCGGTGTCATTGCTGACGTTGCGGAGAATCTCAACAGTCGTGTGGTGCTGGAAAAGCAGGTACATCTCGATGGCTATGCGACCGACGTTCTTGAACATCTGCGAGCCCTGCATGTACTCGGGGTACGAACCGAAGCCGTCGAAGCTGCGCGGGTCAGTTTCGAACGAAACAATTGTAACCGACAAACTTACATGTCATGGTCGTCAACCTGCAAAATGTGGGGAATCTGAGCAAACGCCTCCCTCAGGTACGGCTGATCAAAGTGACTGGTGTAGTAGTGGAAGTAGGCATGTGAAACATCTTCCTCATGACGAGCAGTCCACTGTGCGTTTTTCCTGTTATCCCTGCCGCTCATTGCTAGCCACTGCTTCAGAAGCGGCACCTCCTTCCATAACCTGTCGCCGTAGATCTGGTCACCCAAGCCGAGCTGGACGTGGAAACCTCCGCAATCGACGTTCTTTTGCAGCACGTCCTTCCACATGAAGCCCACACCACCAAGCTTAGAGCGCTCGTTCTGAGACGTTGATGCAGCAAAGTCGTTGTTGGAGTGTGCAATGAAGCGCCAGCCGTTCTCGTGACGACCGGCAACGACAAACTCATATCTTGTGCATCCCAGGTGGGACGTCACGGCATAAGTCCATCTCTCGGTGCCATTCTCGCTCATGGGCAACTCAATATCGTACTTGTAAAACGACCAGCGCTGATGGGTGTAGATATTGTGCGGCACCAACTGTCGCGGATTGGGAGAGAGGTCGGCGCTGAGGTGAAGATGGATCGTGGGAGGCTGCGGTGCTTCAGTCACGATCATGATGCTGCCCAACCACGTCCCCTTCTCCATATCCATATTGCAGTAGCGCAGATACGGCCCAAAGTAGACGCCGTTCGTTGGCTGAATCTTGTACATGTCAACACCGGCACTGGGAGGCGGCCCAGAGAAGCCGGCCGTAGTGGGAGTCTGCGATACGGCGACACTCATGATGCTCTCAGCATAGCCCGGGGTATGAGGAGGGAACATCGGGGACGCCATGCTCTGCTTGCCAAACATAGGAGATGCGAGGGGGTTGCCGTATGTCGAGGCAGTAGGCGACAGAGGCGCTTGTTCATGTTGGATCGGGTTAGGCCCCTTGGGGAACTCCCACTGGGTAGCTTGGGAGGCCAGATGGATATAGTAGTATTGACCAGAGTTTTGATCAAGATGAGCGATCCAACCCTCGGGCAACGGAGGGGGCGAGGATGGCCCAGCGTTTTGAAAGTTGGCAGGAACTTGTGCAGTTTGCGCAACCGGAGTGGCCGCAGGTTGTGCTTGTGCTTGTGCTTGTGGCTGTTGGGCCGGTCCTAGAGATCCATTCTGCTGCTCTGGTCGGGGATCATTGGCGAAAGCCGGATGACCTTGGAGAGCGGGCGACGCAAGCCCTGCAGGCGCGGGACCAGCCGTCGCGGGCTTCTTTGGGGGCGACTGTGCGACGGACGTGGCCACAGACGGTTGCGAGTCTGCTCTTTGCTGAGCCGGACGCTGCTTCTCGGCGGGGTAGGACGAGTTGCCTCCGGGGTTGACACTCGAGTAGGCCGGAGGAGGGTCGTTGGCATTCATGCGCGCAAAGTCCTGCTCCAAGACGCTCACCTGCAGAGCAGGCTGGTCTCCTTCGTTTACCGCTTGCTGAGGAGGAGGACTGAAAGTGGGTTGAGTAGGGCTCGCCACTTGGTTCATACCCTGGTACACGGTGGGAGGTCCATGAGGCTGGTTCTCTGGGTTCTCAGTAGGTGTCCATGGTCGCGCGGGCGGTGGTGCCCCGCCGTATTGCGCCAATCTCTGAGAAGCAGCAGAGTTTTGCACCTGTTGCGCCTGAAGGCCGGTCAAAGTCGCCGTGCCTGAAATACCGGAAGCCGCATATCGAGCCTCGATGCCACCGCCAGGGATTACACCCGGTTCAACGATCGGGGTCTCAGGCGGGGGTGGAGAACCTCTGCTGGCGCGTGTGGTAGAGGTTGAAGCAGTGGAAGCAAACCTGTTCACGTTGCTTTGGCCAGGCATGTCGAGATGCTCGGAGCTCTGGGACTGAGGCTGAGAAGGCGGCCTGGGAGCGTAGCTCTGAGCAGGAGGTGTTGAGCTTGATGCGCCACCGGGAGGAGGATAGTACGGCTTCTTGGTGTAAGAGGGGTAGTTCGTCGTAGAAGCAACCGGGCGCTGGGGCTGAGGAGCGTTCAAGGGCTTCGCAAAGAAGTTGCCCTCCTCGCCAGGGCTTGTCGGAGAAGTAGCTCCCAGAGGCCTCGGGCCAGCGCCGCGTCGCTCTGCGAGGGTCGGGCTCTTGGTCTCAACTGGACTGGTGGCATTCAAGCGCGGGGTAGTATCATTGTAGTCGGAGCCAAAACGCTTCGGGGCAGTGATGGTAGGCTTGCTCGGTTTTCCAGGACGGAGGTCTTCTTCATCGGGATACGGGAGAGGCGCGGCGGAGCTCGAGGCGCCTGGAGGCAGAGGAAAGGTCGGCTTGGAGGTGAAGGAGGACGGAGTGCCCGATGCCGACGGAGGGGCGGGGTACTTGAAGCGGTCGGAAGAGGACGGCTTGGGGCTCTGAGGCTTGAATATTCTCAGAGGCTCGACGGTCGGGCTGTCGCAGTCTTCCTCGGAGGGTTTGCTTAGAAACAGCTCGGCGTCAGGGACGCCGCGACTGCGCTCCATGGCGATGGGTCGTATCTAGATGGACCGGTAGGTTTCTCGAATCGACTTGCGCAGGTACGCGACAGGCTTGGTGCAGTCTGAGTATGCGAATGACGCACGGCGAAAGCTCAGGTCTGCAGGTCAGGGGGAAAAAGTTATTTATAGGAGCTGTCGAAGCTGGTGGTTTGTTGTGTCTGCCGTTGGCTACTGTAGCTCGAGAGGATCGCAGCAGCAGATGGGGGGTTGGTGGGGTTCAAGTCTCACGGGGGGAGGTCGCAGAAATGGCCGGCCGCTCCGTCAGGCCCCGATGGATGGACGAAATAGATGCGATACGGCACCAAAAAAATATTGATATAAGGCTGAAGATTTGTCGATTTCAGAGCGAAAGGGAAAGGGGGGAGTTCGACCTTGAAAAGAACAAAACTTGACAGATAGGACGACAGGCGCCTAGGTTAGGTAGGTAGGGTTTGGGTCTGGCGGGAAGCATTGGGCAGAGTGCAAGTCAAGCGGCATGGGATGGGATGGAACGGGGATCTGGGGGGTTCTTTCTTGCTCCAGCGGCAGCAGCCAGAGCGAGCGAGAGGAGGGGAAACCTCTCATCTCATGCTTCCCACCTCACAGTTGGACACATGCACCACACACTTCCCGGCGCCAGAGCGGGAGGGGAGGCCTGGCCGGGCTGGCATGGCATGGCATGCCGCATTTGCAGGGAATGAGCCGTATTGGCCGTTGGCCGTTGGAGACAGCTGCCTCAAGAGGAGAGCACAAGTGGCTCGTCTCCCCTCAATCACCTCCAAGCGGGCGGCATCAGTGAGCCAAAGAACCTGAAGCACCCATTACTATGGAGCCCTGCATGGTGGCATCTTGCCCAACGAAGCTTGGTGATTGGCTGCAGGTGCTGGGCGCTTAGAAAGTGGGAAGCAGCAAATGGGCATCTTCACTTGAGAGTTGCAAGCGCCTGCCCATGAAAGCGAATTGCTTGGCTTGAGCCTCCAGCCCTCTCAACAGAGTCTAGACAATAGAGCACCACAGCGGAGCCACTCGACTTCGTAATGCGCACACAGCGAGTTGGGAGAGTGATTTGTTGTTGACAAGGTGGATGCGGCATCTGGTATCCGGTGAGTCGACGATGCGCCAAGAAAAGGGGAAGCGACTGGGCAGTCAGTCTGCATCCATGGGAAGCGTAAACCATCACTTGATGAGTGGAAGCGCTGACAATCTGCGTACAACATGCGAAATAAATGTATGAAAACATACGGGAGCGATATCCTGAAATGATAGCCTGAATGCAGGCGGATAAGTGAGAGCAAATATGGGAAATACCTATTGCATGGAATAATGGGAGAAGAGAACGAGAAAAGCCCGAAGAGGACCCGCGGCACAGACACAGGCTCAAAGGCCTCCCGAGTCCCGACGCCCACCGCGGGACTGGCCGAGATGTGGTCCAAGCTTCGTCGGTGAATTACCTAAGCCGGTCCTGGTCCAAGCTTCGAGCGTCGTGGAGTTTTCGCCCCCCAAATCCCCGACGAGATGGAATGTCACTGGTCGACGTCGGAGTTGTTGGTCATTGTCACTGATATTCATATGAATCCCATCTCGACTCCTCGGCAAACACAACAAGGACGCGGACTTTGATACAACGATGCCCCGGCAACTTATTCCGAGAGCGACGCATTTCCAGGGGCATTTGACTCACATTTCAAGCCTTACGACTCGTCCGCGCACAGCCTAGACCGACCGTGGATTGAGGCCTCAGTTGGCGTGCGCGTCCCTGCCCGTGTCGGTGGCGAGCCACAACCCAGACACTTGTGGCACTCGCAACGTTCAGCTGCACAGCGGTACCGCACAACGGGACCGAGCAAGCCACACTTCCCCCACAGCGGTGCCTTGTTACTTTCGGCCCCGAACTCTGGGCTCCCTCATCTCAACCCATCTCGCTCGGTCACGCCCCTCACCTTGCTGCGGACTGCGTAATTCCTTGACGAAATAAACAATGACACCAGGCAAACACCAAAAAACGCAGCTTCGACGCCTGGGATAACCCCTAGAGTCATGGCGGCGCCGTCTCAACTCGGTCTCCGACGCCACGGTGGACTTGTGGACTTTTCCAATACACCTGAGGCGTCGGGGCTCGGTGAGCACGTCTCCCGCCCTCCGCCTCCGTCCAATGAGCTGATGCCCCCCCTCCCCGGGACGCGTGGCGACATCGTGCTTCCCATGTCCATCATTCGAAACCTTTCTGATCTGTTCGACAGGGTGACTACTGGTGTAGTGTACGTACGTCTGACTGGTGCAAATGGGCGTCGCAAGTGCTTTTGCCTTCACTCATGCCCGATATCAGATGGTAGTATACGCATGCTTCTGCCTCACAGCAGTTCGCCCAACGTTATATATAAGACGACTCCTGTCTCCATCCAACTGTTGGTTTTCTTTTGTCCCCATCAGCAGCTTCAATAGCTTTACGATACACTACCATCACCATCTCCAACAACAACCCTTCACTTACACACATACACACATATTCAACCCGATATCACCAAGCAACAGCAATCATGTCTTGGGCAGGCCCAAACGGCAACAGCAACCCTTTCCCCCGACCCGGCGGTCCCCAGCAGTTCTGGAGCTGGGTCAACTCTGATCCCAACGCCCGCGCCGGAGCTGGCATCGACCACGCCGGCCCCTGGGGCGGCCCTGGCTTCCCCTTCCACGGCGCTGAGTTCAGCTTTGGCGGTCCCGGTGGATGGGGTGCCTACGGCGGCTGGGGCGACCGACGAGGAGGACCAGGCCACCGCCGCGGCGGCGGACGATGCGGCAGCAGAGGTCGCCATGGCCGCCACGGACCCCGCCACGGTGACGAGAGCGACGAGACGCACGAGGACATCATGCGCGACATCGACGACGCAGAAATCTCCGACAAGGAGAAGGACGACTCCCCCGAGACCATGAGAGACAGCCCCGACGAGGGCGGTCCCGAGCACGAGCACGGCCACCACCACGGTCCCGGCCGACGCGGAGGTCACGGACGCTTCGGCGGCCGTGGCGGCGGTGACCACTGGCGCCACAGTAGACACCACCACGGCCCCCGCGGTGCCCACCCTCCCCCGCCTCCACCGCCCCCCTTCGGCGCCGGCCCGCCTCCTCNNCCACCCTACGGCCACCCGCCCCCTCCTCCTCCCCCGGGCTTCGACTTCACCGGCTTCCTGAACCAATTCGCCGGCCACCCCTTCGCCCAGCAGATCCGCGACTGGGCTGCCCGCTTCGGAGGCCTCAACACCCCCCGCGGCGGTCCCGACTTTGGTGGCCCCGCCGGACCCAACGACGACTCCTCCTTCACTCCCCCTGTCGACGTCTTCGCTACCGAGAGATCGTACGTGCTGCACTTCGCCCTGCCCGGAGCCAAGAAGGAGGACATCGGCGTCGACTGGGACGCTGACAAGGGCGAGCTCCGCGTCGCGGGCGTCGTCTACCGCCCGGGCGACGAGGACTTCCTCGCCACCATGGCCTCGAGCGAGCGCCGGGTCGGCATGTTCGCCCGCTCCGTCCCGCTCCCGCCCGCGGGCGCCGAGAGGGAAGAGATTGACGCGCTGTCGATCACGGCTAAAATGGAGGATGGCGTGCTCATCGTCACCGTCCCCAAACTCGAGAAGGAGTGGACTGAGATCCACAAGGTCGACATCGAGTAAGACCTATGTCTCGCGACACGAGGCAAACTCGATCTTTTTGGTGGAAAACGGTTTTATCGGTTTATAAATAATGAAATGGAGTATTACGGAGGAAGGATCATGGGTTTTGAGTTTTGATATTTTAGGACAGCTGTATTAGGAAGCTATTATGATAACCGTTTACCACCACTTCATCTATCAACGTGACTTGAAACTTGACAAGAGTGGAGGAAGGAAAATCAGGTAGGGTTGATATGAATCATTCGCGGTGGCTAGTCCACTTGATTCAGAAGCTTCCAATCCCACAATTCTATTATGACAGCGAACGTAGTGTACTACTGGACGGCCCTAATCAGCACCTCAGACAGCCACACCCCACAACTGTATCTGCGACTTCAGATGTAACTGTTGTACCGTCTGTCATTTTCTATGCACCCTTTTAGAAAGCCTGGTGTTTCTCTGCTTCCATGCAGGGAACTCGGACCCGCGAAGAGAGATTAAATGCTGTGAAAAGCAGAGCCTCCTCGGCGTGGGGCGATCGGGTTGACCTTTTGGTCTGAATGGCTTAGGTATGGAATTCTGTGCACAACGTCAAGAATAATTTGAATCGGCGGCAACCATGCGTTGGACTATGAGTAGGTGACTATGAGTAGGTGACTATGAGTAGGTGACTATGAGTAGGTGACTATGAGTAGGTGGAAAAGGTTCTGACGAATCCAAATTCACCGCATTCCGGTGAGCAAACGTACATAAACTGATATTTTAAACTTGCTTTCTTGCCGACGATGCCATTCCCAATGATGGCGCCGCGTCACGAGGAATACGAGAGAGAAGAGCTAAATCCAGTTGAAAGAAGTGCTATGAACTGGAAACTTTCTACCAGGATCCTCAGGCATGGTATCAAGTAGATGGATGGCCCATGAGATGCGGAAGGCTTCTGTAAGGAGACTGTAGTAATGCTATGTCATACTACCGCGAATCGAGGCACATTGTTTCTTTCAACGTAACTACGCTGTGATGATCGAATAAATTGATATAAGCTTTTTATAGTATTGCTTTCGGTCTATTGGTTTACATTACTAAACAACTTAAGATAATACTGGTGACGGACACTTAAGATTAGCCGACCAGCTGGAAGTCAGCTTTTAATGATACTCTGAGAGGAAATCTCAAGAATCTTACAGCTAGTTGCGGTGCAGTTTGACAGAACAAGAAGGCTGCAGACTGTTACTGAGGAATGAAGTTTTCAGAACGACAGGGAATAAATAAATTTAGACCGCACACGATATGCTCGTTGCGACATGTGTGAAGGGCATGCAAGGGAAATAGAAGAACCAGGTCTATGGCGATAGAATTTAAAATTTCGAGCGTGTTAGGACGGTTCGCCAGAAGGAAAGCCCTCCTATCATCTCATAAGAAAGCTTCTCGGGGGAAAGAGGGCAGAGGTATCGATACTTGCATTTGTGTTCCCTGCAATTCTTATGAAAAGGCTATAGCCAGCTGTTTATAGCTACCTAAAGACTTTCCTTTAGAAGATCAATTAGTCCTTAGGATCGTAGATCCCGTTGATGCTGTCGAGCTCCCTAGCTGCGGCGGACTTGAAATGCGTTGTCGGTTGCGTAGACGGCGGATGAATGATGACTCGAGGCGAAGAGGCTCTGCCGTTGTGCCAACGAGCAACCGTGTTATCGATATATGGGTCTTGAAAACCATATGCACTAGCATTACTGCGGACAGCGTCGCCATCATGATACACGGACGTGAATAAAATGAGGACAGGGGAAATGCTGGACGGGAGACTGAGCCATAGATTTTGCTCCTGAAGGTGTCAGATGATTCCGAGTAGTGTTTGCGTAAGCCTACTGGCCCTCCTTGGTAGGACGGCTTCAGCGCCCAGGAAGTCAACAGAATACATTGCTCTGTGACGACATTATTGTTGGCAATGCAACCGATGCTTAAATATTCTGAGTGATCGACGGAAAGAACTCATTGACACGATCGGAATGAACAACTGCAACAAACAAGCAAGGTGATCCGGACTACTCAAGGGCGGAATCTCGGCAATGTCATTATGCTTCATGGAAAGTGAGTGCGTGACGAACTCGTCTCAAACAAGGATATCTCCTTCTACGCTCAATAACAGTCATTAGCGTTCACAAACAATATGAAACAATGAAGCTGAATAGAGAATTACTCCGTACGCGGTATTCGCCTCCTCAAGACGGAAAACGAACGCTGGCTGACCCGCCGCGAAGCACCCTCTCACAACACCTCAGAAGTCGAACAAGTCCCCTGCAACCAAATCCACAAGAAGCAAACCTTTAATGAAATGACTTATTCAAAGCAGTGGATTGCCCATCTAGATATTTCAGGCTCAGTTACGTAATAAATAGGAGGTTCAGAACGGATTCAATGTGGTGCGAACGACAACCAGGCTCACCTCGAACTAGGGGGCTGGAAAAGCACCCGCTAAACAAATTGCAATGGGAAGAAAAAGACAAAAAAAGATCAAAAAAGCGAGGTTCGAACCCAGAAGCTCTGGATTCAGGTAATATGGAATCGCGCGTTCAGCTGACACGTTAGGCCATCACTGGGCATATCCACGGCCACTTTCCCTGCTCGCTGTGGCAGACTCCCGAGGGAAGCCACCTGAAATAACATTCCATCCGGGGCAGGAGCATTCACCACAAGGTCGCCGCTCCATACCGCAATTCTCTTGCTTCCCAAAGGAAGGAAAGACACGGTAGGCTAAAAATACTGAAGGAGGAAGAAAGACAGAAAGAAAGCCACGAGTAGGACACAATCTTCACGCGCACTGCTCGTCAACCTCGACGCAGGTCGCCGCTGCCCTTCCTGGAGGTTACAACACGCAATATTCTTTTACACGTGTATAAGAACGCAATGCATCTCACTTGAAAACGCCGGTTTACGGGCATCACACCTTTGGAAGCATATTTGAGCTTGGGAATCAACATCCATTATATCTTTACTCAACGTCATGCTTCGAATGCAAAGCGAAAACAGAAAGCCGACGCCAAAGTCCTTTTCTTACCATCCCGAACAAGTATCTATCAAAAGATCACATTCCACATAATCTCATTCATCACATCGCCACGCCGACTTTTACACCTTAACTTTAGACAGCCGCAACTCTTCTAACACTCCTCCTTGCGCCCTCACCGCTGACCATAATCAGACCCTCCATCTCCAGCGTACGCATCGTCTCGTTGAAGTCGGCCTGCTCAACGGGCATGCTGGCGCCCTCGCTGAGCTTCCTGGCAACCTCAGCCCACTTGACGGACTGGCCGCCACTGGTGAGCTCATCGAGGAGGTGGAGAACAGCCTCCTTGATCTCCTCCTTCCTGCGACGGTCCGCAGAACTCGTACCCTCGGTCAGCAGGCTCATGTCGATGCGACCTTGAGAATCGGTAGCAGCGGTCTTGAGGGCGGAGCGAATGAGGCGGGCAGCCTCCTGGACATCCTCGCGGGTGACAGTCTCAGAGAGACGCATCTTGGCGTGCGCCTCGGACAGACGAATCATGGACTCGAGCTGTCTAGTGGTGGCGGTGATACGCTTCTCAGCGGCGCGCAGATCTTGACCAAGCTTGCGCATCTCCAGGTATTGGTCAACCAGCTCCTGAGCGGCATCTTGCGCGATGGTGGGGTTGATGGTGGAGCGGGCGTAGAAGATGTAGGAGGTAAGGAATTCGACAGGCTACAAGAGAGTTAGCTTAATTCTGGTGTACTGATTGTCTGTGGACTTACGAGAATGTCTTCCTTGGTGGCAGCGGACTCAGGCTTGTCCTCCAAGTACAGGGAGAGAAGATGGCGAGCGAGGCGAGCATCGCTCTTCTCGTCGACACGGTCCAGGATAAGGTAGACCAAGTCGAAACGCGAGAGCAACGTAGGAGGGAGGTCGATGTTCTGGGGCACGGGGAGATCGGGGTTGTAGCGACTGCCGATAGGGTTGGCAGAAGCCAGGATACTGGTTCTGGCGTTCAGGGTCGTGATGATACCAGCCTTGGCAACGGACACGGTCTGCTGCTCCATGACTTCGTGAAGGACCGAGCGGGTGGCGTCTGACATCTTGTCGAACTCATCAATACAGCAGACACCGCCGTCCGAGAGAACCAGAGCACCGGACTCGAGGACGAGCTGGCGGCTTTCAGGGTCGCGAGTGACATACGCAGTCAAACCGACGGCAGAGGAACCCTTTCCGCTGGTGTAGATACCTCTAGGGGCAATCTTGTGCACGTACGAAAGAATCTGAGACTTCGAAGTAGAAGGGTCACCGCAGAGCAAGACGTTAATGTCTCCTCTGTACCTAGGGCTTCCGCCCTTCTGGAAGGTCTTGTTGGTGCCGCCGAAGAGCTGCAGAAGGATTCCCTTCTTGACGTCGTCCATCTCGTAAATCGAGGGGGCGAGCGAGCGAGCAAGGAGCTCGTAAATGTCTGGTCGTGCAGCAGTCTCCTTGATCTTCTCCACATCCTCTGGGGTAATCTTGCGATTCTCCTGGAGGTTAGGGTCGTTCGTCTCACCCTCCTCACCCTCGACACCCAGCGTTGAGGCGTCAAGACCCATTCTCTTCTTATCGACCTTTTGGATGTGGACAACGTCGACGAATGTTCTGTACACACTCTTGATGGTTCTTTGGCGGGGGTTCACACGCACAGGGTTGACTCGGAAGACACCGGTGATCTCAACGCGGTCACCTGCCTTGCAGAAGTCTACAAGCTCGTTGTAGGCGCAGATTGAGACAGAGTGAGGAGTCTGACCGGCAGGGACAGCATCGGGAGTCTCTTGCAGCTTGATGACCTGCTTGTCCTCAAAGGAGCATCTGTTATGGATGATCTGCATGGAGTTCTTGGAGGCGCAGCGAGTTCGCGGGCACTCGGTAGGCTCGCGAATCTTGCCTCGGTCAATGCTAACGTTGACAGAGTGGTTGCAGACGTTGCAACGGAAGAAAGCATCCTTCATATCGGGGATGATAGGGGTGGTTCGGATCACAAGACCCTTGATGGTGATGAGCCGGTCCATATCAGAGGGGTTCAGGTCTCGAAGGTTGGTGATCTTCTCGAGGCCGTACGGGCGGACCATGTAGATCATCTGAGAGACTTGGTCCTCTTTGGAGGTGATGTCAGTGGCTGGCCTGGGAGTGGGAGCATCTGTGGGAGTGGGAGCATCTGAGGGTGTTTCGGGGTGGTCGGAGCTGGGGAATACAGGCTCTGAGCTGGGCGCTGTGTTGCTTCGCCTCGCAGCATCACCGGCGCTGCTCTGAGAGTTACGCTCCCTCAGGTCTTCGGCTCTGGCCAGCTCAACCATCATATCGTGGATAGACTGATCCATAATCGGGATGATTTCTTGCGGGTAAGCCTGGAGATGGTAGTACAGCTTGCGAGTGGGCGGGTAAGTGTTGAGATCCTGCATGTTGAGGAACAGCCTGGTGCCACCCAAGAGAAGCATGTTCTCAAGGGCCTCCCAGTAGACCTTCGACTCGGCATCAGGAGCTTCCCGAACCTCAGCTTCGGACAGCCCTTCCCGGTACATCTGATACTTTCGGGTGAAATTCCTCAGGAAGTCCTTGAAGGTCACAAAGGTATCGTCGATCGAGACGCTGGTACCCCAGATGGTGCTGTCGGCCGCCCCACCGAGACGGTCCGCCTCCGAAGTGTTGGGGTCGGGGTTGCTGAAAGAAGGCGCATCGGAACCCGGGGCGTTGGTCACTACTCTGCCGGATGGGTCCAGCACAAGGCGGCGGCGCGGAGTTCTGAAACCCTCAGAGTGAATGTCACCTCTCCGTGAGCGGGCACGGTCAGAGACGAAAAGACCACTGCTCTCACTTCGGAAGTCTGATTGTGGCGGCCTCACCGAGCCACGGCCTGGGCTGGAACTGGGATCGTATCGGATGGGTGACGATTCTGCCTTCGTGTCAGTCCTCAGTCTGCAGTATACATTCCTCATCCTCCTTACCTCTAGCCATTCCACTCGCACGCGGGGTTCTGTCACCATCGCCGGTTGACTGGGTGTCAATGTCTTGACGCAGCGGTGAGCTGGGAGCCGGGCCGACGTTGGTGTTCTGGCTGCTGCTGACGCCCCTCAAAGGGGACGAAACATCGCCATTGGCAGGTGCATTGCGACTGCTGCCCTGCGCAGGCGAGGACTCGTAAAACAGAGGGCTCGATGCAAGCTGGGAGCGGCGGGTTGTGCGGCTGGGCGTCTGCGCAGCGGGCTCCTGTGCAGGCGCGGGGCTGCTTCGGTCTGCATCCGGGTTGTTTCTCGTGGACCGGCGGGGAGTGGTGCCGGCCGTCGAGCTTCTCGTCGACCTTTTTGTGGGCGACGACATTGTTTTGAGGTGTTTGTTGACTTTGCGTCGATGTGTCGGTAAGGGATTGTTCGGAGGTGGGATGGGGGGAATTGGCGGGATGCAAATGCGACAAGAAAGAATATGCGTGTTGCTGGGGAGAGGGGAGATGTGGAGAGCGCTCAGGAGCAGTTGAAAGTGGGCTGGCTGCAATTTTGGAAAGCACTTTACGCGCTCCCCCGGTTCTTGACGCGGTCGAAAAGGAGTTTCGCGTTTTCCACTTTACGCGTGGTGGGAAAGGGCCTGACAGACATGGCCCGTGCGCCTATCGTAGCTGCCAGGGTGGCCCTCAGAGCAATGGCGCAGCGCAGTGCCGGGCCCCTGTAGTCCGGCCGTCGGCGAAACCACCCGCCGACTTGTACGTGGTCAATTGCATCCCGCCAGAGCTCCCTACAAGGCATCGTGGACTTGAGGCTCAAGATACAGCAAGCTAATCAACAAAGCGCATTCCGGCGCAACGCATATAAACACCGTCAAGATGGCTCCTGGAATGTCCCTTTTCTCCGTCAATGCGATCCTCATCCTCAGCACAGAGGACGGATCGCGGTTATTCTCCAAGTACTACACCGCACCCCACCACGGCCCTTCGGCGACACAGAAGGACGGTATGCGCTCGCAGCTCCCAATGCCAGCTCCGAGCTCCTGACTGACGAATAGTGTCGACTGCAGGTCACGCTGGCTCCGCAAGCAACCCCTACGGCGATGTCAAGTCCCAAAAGGCCTTCGAGAAGGGCCTCCTCGACAAGACGGCGAAGCAGACCGGCGACATCATCCTCTACGACAACCGGATCGTTCTCTACAAGATGGAGTCAGACGTCATGATGTACGTCGTCGGAGGTGTCGATGAGAACGAGGTGCTGCTGTATAACGTTATTCTGGCCCTGAGAGACTCGCTTCATCTGCTATTTAAGTAAGTGACAGCTCCAAAAGCCAGGCACTGGGCGCTGCTAACACCTTCTCAGGCAATCTGTCGATAAGCGCACAATCGTCGAGAACTACGACCTTGTCTCCCTCGCCATTGACGAGATCGTCGATGACGGCATCATCCTCGAGACCGACCCTACCATCATCGTGCAAAGAGTCAGCAAGGCGCCGGCGCAAGACGTGGACCTCCGCCGCATCGACCTCAGCGAACAGGGTGTCAACAACCTCGCCCAGCTGGGCAAGTCGAAACTGGCGGACTGGCTGCGACAAGGGTTGTAAGGGGGCGGTACACGAGCGAGATAGGGGACGGAATGGCAACGCGAAGAAGAAGGGTTGCTGCACATGGGAGTTTTATGGTGGCCTAGAAAGGGAACGCATCATTAAAAGTATAATCCCTCCGAGGGATGTCATGACGAATGCTGAGATTTATGCCTAATTCTTCTATTTGCTTTTCCCAAATCCCGTCTATGTCCGAATCTCGGATGCTGCTTTGCGAAGCCTGTTCATCACCGCCTCTGCAATATCGTTCCTGTCGTCGATACCGTCTACGAAGATGACGCTGGCGCCCCTTCTATCCAAATCTCTCAGCGCAGAGAACAGGCCTTGCGCAATTCCTCTGGTGTCGTCTCCCAGGTCAATGTCAAGCACCGTCGCCATAGGTTTGTCCTCGGCATCCTGAAGCTCGCCCTCTTGGACCTCATACGTCGTCTCATCCCTGGCGTTCGCCTCCGCAGCCCCGTCAACATGGACCTTGGAAACTTGCAGCGCACCGTGATGCAGACCACCTGCGATCTTCCACCTCCTCGTCCGGATGATTCCTATCCTGGCGGAAGTCGGTCCGTCTCCGTTCGTCAACGCATCCGCATTCTGCTGAATGAGCGCCTTCTGCAAGTCCTCGGCAACGATGCCCTCAGCGCCCGCCGGGCATGCATGCTCATACAGCACAACCTTCGCCTTGGGGCTGTAGTGCTTGTACTTCATGCCCGGGGCCCTTGGCGCCGACTTCCCCGTCTCGCTCTCGTCCTTGTACGCCTTGGTGACGCCCTCCCAGCCTGGACAGCTTCGCAGCTCTTCCATGCTCACGCCTCCTGGCCTCAGAACGACTGGCGGGCTGCACAGTCCGTCAACAACCGTACTCTCCACACCGACCTGGCAAGCCCCGCCATCTAGGATGAGTTCGATGCGGCCCTCCAGATCGTGATAAACATGTTGTGCTGTGGTGGGCGAAGGCTTAGTTGACGCATTCGCCGAAGGAGCAGCCAGCGGTACACCGGCCAACTTAATGAGTGTCAACGCTAACGGTGACGACGGCATCCTGACACCAAAACTCGTCAACCCCGCCGTGACCTCAGGCGCAAGCTTGCTCGGCGTCGGGTTCTTAAGGAGAATCGTAAGAGGACCAGGCCAGAACCTTTCGATGAGAGGCTTATATATCTCCGGGATAGGGTCCTTCTGAGCATGGCCGTTTGTCTGGCTCTCATCGCTGGATCGCAGCAGTCCCCTCAACATGTCGAGATCGCTGACATGAGAAATGAGCGGGTTGTCTGAGGGTCGGCCCTTGGCGGAATAGATGCCCTTGACGGCGTCGCTCCTTGTCGCATCGGCACCCAGACCATAGACAGTCTCGGTGGGGAAAGCCACTGGTGTCGCCTTGGTGCGCATGTACTCCGCTGCGTCGCGGAGGGCGGCTATCGAGGCGCCTGAGGCGGAGGGGCTGACTTCCCATGTGCTCAGTCTCTCGGGTCCAGAGTTGTTGGTGAAGCTGCCGAGCCCTTGGGCGTCAACCTTAACGATGCGGGTCTCCATCGTGAAGGCTTGTGTTGTAAGATGTTTGATAAGAATGCGGTTTAAAGGTGAGAGGTGTGTCGCGAGCTGGCGACTTATACGATAAGTGAGAGCCAATGTGAAGAACCTTGGAGGGGTAAGAACTTCGAAAACTTCGGTTCAAGAAGGAAATAGAGTTGACAGAAAGAGGGTCCGGGGTAATTATCTCCGATGTGTGAGAAGAATAATCTAGATCGTCGTCATATGGGTATCAAAGAAGGTCTTGTGTGTGGATGAAGAGTGACATGCAGTTGACTCATCTGAAAAAAATTCTTTTGGAGATGCGGCTAACATAGATGAGAGCGTTTGTGGCGGCGTTATCCCCGGGCTTAGGGCGTCCAACTGGTCGGGTTTTGCCTGCTAAACCTTCTGAGGAAATACTGAGGTCAGGCGCTAAAAGTCGCCCCCGTAGATCTGATTTTAGTGGAGCCAGTGATGTGATTTCAGTGGAGATTTAGGTTCCTTCGGGCCCGTCCCGGGGTTCCGGCCGACAACGGGCATCCCGGCCGCCGAGGACTTCCATCACTTACAAGAGTTTGACAACTTGTGCTACATGTAATCTCCATTGAAGCGCGAGCAACTTGTCTCATCTCGCCATTGAAAAACTACGATACCGATTCGAAATGACTATTGATAATTACCGTCGTAGTAAGTCAACGAAGAGTGGCATGTAGGCGGGCAAAGTTTGGACTCGTGCGAGTACAAGAACTTTCAAAAGATCTGTTTCTCTGCGAACTTCACCTCACAGTGCTGTCAGCACCAGGGAAGACACGCATGACTATGGTTTTCCCGCTGTGTGCTACGTATCATAAGTTAGGGTAAAGATGAAAAATAAGGGCTTGAAAAATGAAACAGATTTTGAAGAAGACGGTCTACTTAAATAGGTAAAGTTAGGTAGTCTCCAGCAGATCATGGCTTGCAGGAGCTGACTGATTTCACCCGGGTCCAAAATATGGGGTTTGAATGGAAGATATATACATCCTGGCTTCCTAGTCTAGGGCTCAGCGCCTGCGTGCTTCAACACAAGTTCCTCGTCAATACCCAATCACGTCAAGCCATATTCCTGGTAGGTCAGACCGAGAGAGTACGTATACACACAGGCTCCAAGTATTGTCAGGTATTTCAAAACCATTGACAGCATAATGCCTATGATGTGCATATGGACAATTCACTAGGCCGAGTTTATCAAATGGTATGTATTGAAAGCTGCTTTGATCTTCCCTGCTTGAGAGAGTGAGAGCAGCCGCGTCTAGGGATCGGGTCTGAATCGGATTTCTTGCGAGTTGAAGAGCGAATAAAAGAAGAAGGGGCAGGGAGGGAGGAGCGGGGGGAAACAGGTAGGCAGGTTGAGGTAGCGTCAGGTGGATGGTCGAAATGATTCGCGACCGATTGTTTAAGGAGGAATCGCGTGGGTCTGCTGGAAGTGACGGCTGCAGTTGGAGGCGAACCAGAGAGTGAATGAAGACGGCTGCACTTGGTCAATAACAGAGAAACATTCATATGAGGTTTGCGAAAGAAAGCGGGCTGGAAGCTTACCAAGTAGAATGTTGTCTAATATTGCTTACGAGAGAATATTTTGAGCCATTGCCAATTTGCCTCGAACCTTCGAGGCGCGTCCCAGACTTCTCCTGGTTTGCCAAGATCTCCCAGCAGAAGATGAAGTTTGATGGGAGATTCAGCATGACGACGGTTCCCATGCTTTACATACATTGGTATCAGGGTGTAGGGATGAATGTCTACTTCTGACTCCTCACGTTGATTTCGACGGCTCTGCTTGACCGCCATGTAGGCGAAGATAGCCGATGTAATAGCGACAAAAAGGCTCGGCACGCCGAAGATTATTGCAACAAGAACTTCTGTTGAAAGTGGCATGTCTAATATATAGAAAGACAGTGACAAGAGTGGTGGCCGAAGAAAAATAATGGGTGAGCGAAATCAAGCGAGCAAACAGTGAAAGAACGTCGATCGAAGAAGTGCCTTCCCCAGTTGACGAGGAGTTGTCATCGCATCCCGCGCTCATTGATCCATAGCATCGACGTCCAGGAATATTATATCTTTCTCACACAATGGCCCGGCCTACTTGTTGAAATCCACCCAGCGCATTGTAAGGCTTTCTTTGATGGCCCAAAGTACTGTGAGGTATCGTTTCGTGGTCTGCGATTGACGAAGGTCAACACCAACTAATACTGAGGCCAGCGGCAACTCGGGATTTCTGGAGAAAGCCCAGACGATACGAAGAAATACCTGCAGATAAGTCTATGAGGAAGGGGTTGTTTGATCTTCGCCCAGGCAGATGCTCTGATTGGGTCTACCAACGACAAATTTGCATATTGGGGTGTGTAGAGTGTGTGGTGTGTGGTGGTCCAGGGTGTGTGGTGGTCCAGGATGTGTGATGGTCCAGGGTGTGTGGGTGTGTGATGGTCCAGGGTGTGGTGGTCCAGGTCGTAAGGTGTGTGGTGTGGTGGAGAAGGGAGCGTGGGAGAGAAGGGTGCGTGGTGGTTCAGGATCGGTGGTGATGTTGGTTCAGGGTCCGGAGTGTGCCAGGAATTCGTCGAAACCGGCTCAGTCCTCTGGTGAGGCAGCCAATGAAATGACTAAAAACACTTCATTTGGTTTTGGAGGGACGGATGCACGTTAGTCGTCTTTATATTCCAATACCTACCTCAACCCGATGGCGCTCTGCATTCTTCGACCCGACGACGTTCTTCCTACCTCCAGACGACGGTGTTCGTCCACCTGGGCCAATAGCTCACGATGTCCTCCGGAATGGCTCATGGTGTTAACCCCTCAACGCCTCCATCAACTTCTACGAGAGCGTCGTGAACACAGCGGCAGGAGACATCGAGGCCACACGAAGCTCGTCCTGCTTGTTCCTTAGCCCGGATCTGGGATCCAAGAACACCAGTGACACTTGTAAACATCTCAAGATCAAGGTAATGCTCCTTAGTGGTCGAATGACATTCGTATTAGAAATGCAGCAATAAAACCTCCAGTAGAATACTGTATATAGTGCTTAAATGGCTGGTCGTCCAGTGGCGGAAGCACAAGACCAGCGCCGGCTATTCTTTGGTCCAGTAGCCCCATTTCCTCTCCTCAACTGCTAATCAATAATTGGATACGAAAAGGATTCCCGTGGCTGGTAGCGGTTGTTCTGCTCAACTTTTTACCGGACCTCTGCCCGAGATCCCCTGAGGTTTGGAGTTAGCTTGTTTCCGCGCCCTCATGCACATCTTCGAAGCACTCGACCGGGTCAAAACTGACCAACGAAAAGTAAAGTAAAGAATTATGCTTGGATCTACACACCAGTGGAACGATTCTACAGGAGTGCTATTGTCCACCGTAAAATATCAACAGTCTTGATGAATTTTGGTCTACCATCTACCTACCCCGGCAGACATCGTCATGATCCGTGCGCTTTGGAAGAAAACAAGTCATCTCTCATAGTTTTTATATTCCAAACCGCAAAGTCCCCAGCCCCCTGCGGATCACCTTCGTTCTTATCTTTATCTCTTCGTCTCCACCTGTTCATGCCATGTTAACATCAAGCTCTACGCTCCCTGGTCGTAAGTTGTCTAGCCCGCCGCCTCTCGTCCTCAGTCAACACCCAAATCATACCATCCTCATCCTCATCCGGATTATCCACTGCAGAGATCTCCTCCCACTCTTCCTCCTCCATGTTCGCCACCATAAGGATCTGCGACACCCGCGCAAAGAGCTCTCTGACGCCGTAGTTGCCCTTGGACACAGTGCTGACGATGCTCGAGAAGTCGCGCTCCATGCGGATGACGCCGTAGGCGTTCGCCCTGGCGTCCCAGACCCTGCGCTCGAGGACGCGCGCGAGGTACCGGGCTGTGAGGTCGTGCAGCGTCGTGAAGGTGTGGGCAGTCATAAGGCGGGCGATGGGCTTCATCAGCTGGTCCCAGCCGTGCTCGAAGCGGCGGGACACCTGGTCCAGCATCTCCTCCTCGTCCTCGTCGTTCTGCTCTGCGTATTCGGCGAGTTCCTCCTCTGTGAGAGAGTAATCCACGTCACGGAACGTGTCGGAAAGCACGGGGCGCAGTCGTGGTTGGACCACGCGCTGGAAGAGGACTTGCAGGCCTTCGTTGAAAAGCTCGGTCGTCTTGAGGGTGAAGGAGCTGTGTAGTGTGTTGAGGGCGGAAGTGACGAATGTGACGTCCTTGTCGAAGGGGAAGGAGTCTCTGAGCGATGGCTCGTGGGCTTCGCCATTCGCCTTTGCCGCATCGTTTGCGCTGCCTATGTTGCTCGTGATGATGCGGTTGAGATACTCATTGGCTGTGTCGAGACTGTTGATGAGAACAATGAATTGGATGATCTTGTCTTCTGGCGGGAAGCCTCCTTGTACGATTGGCTTGGGATAGGACTCGTCGCGCATCTTTCGTTGGATCATGCCTATGAAGTCGGAGCTGAGTACGCGGCCGATCGTAGGGATCACGGAGGCAATGACGTCTCTCTGTGATGTAGATGTTGATTTCTGTATGACTGCGCTGACGACGTACATGACATCGTCGACAGCGGATATGATGAATGGCTGATTGGTGTCGACCTGCTTGTTCATGCTAAGAGACAATCCAGTTGGCATTTCGTCCAACTGGAAAGCCTTCTCCACCGATCTTCGGAAGAAGAAGGTCATCATGGTATTATATGGCGAAGTAAGCTTGTCCGAAATCTTTCGCTTGAGATTAGACTTCACGACTAATTCAGGTATGGAAAGAGGAGCGTCCTCAGGGGCATCGGGCTCCTATCATGTTGTTAGACTTTAATCTCACTAAGCAATGAGAACCACTTACCCGAGTCTTTCCTGCTAAGAAGCGGGAGTAAAGCGACCATCGGCCGAGCATCACAGCGATCTCACTAAGAATTGCGTCCACCTCTTTCATATTGACGCCCTCATCCTCACTGGGGCGCGGATTTGCGCCAGCGCCCATTGCAGGTGAATTGACTCGTGGCGTCCCGCTTCTTTGTGGTGGCAGGAAGCTCTGAACCAGGAAAGAGAATGGGTAACTCTTGACGTCCTTGAGCCGTCTGTCGACATCGCGCTCATCGCTCCATGAGTCAAGGATGATGCCACCCTGTACATCAGCCTCTTGTTGCAGGCGCTCGATAACGCGGACCATCTTTCCTGAGCCGTAGTGTCTCTCGACAAGACCTCCGTGTCCCTCGACAATGCGCGCAATATGGTCGAACAGCCTGGTGAGGGCATTGGCGTAGAAGAAGCCTTCTTTTCGAGCTTGCACGCCAGGCCCTTCCTTCAAGACCGATCTCGCCGTGCCAGCCACGCCCTGGCATACATATCGGCCATATACGTCGAGACCAACATCGCCTCTCCCAATCAACGGGAAAAGCTTGAAGAACCTCGTAACCTTGGCACCGTCACCCTCCTTGGTCGCCTTCTCGAACTCCCTCAGGAACAGTCCACACAAACTTTCCTTGGCGTTCTCGAGCGTAACCCACGGCGGGTCGGGCACTTCGACGGAGGGCACGATCGACGACGCAAACTTGCCCTTTGTGATATCCTCGGGCACCTGCGCAGCGCGCGCAAGGTACGCCGCTGCAGCCTCCCAATCCTGCGGGGCACCCATGCTGCCCACGACGCCCTGCACGCAAGCCTTGAGCTCCACGACCTGCTTCACGACCTCGAGCGTGTCCTCGACGCGGCTCTTCTCCAGATCCAGCTCCTTCACCTTATTACTCAGCCGACCCGCCGTGTCAGCCGCCGTCGCGAGCATGTCGTTACCGATGGACCGCGCGGCGATGACCTGGCTGCCGAGCCCCGCGCGGAGGAGGTCGAGCCGGCCCAATTCGCGGGCGAGGTCGGCCTGCGAGCCCAGGAGAGCATCGAGGCGGCTCGTAACTGTCGATTCGCGGGCGTGGAGGGCGTCTAGGGCGGCGCGGACCTCGGCGACGCTCGAGGCAGCGTAGATGGAGGTGGTGTTGGAGCTACTGCCAGGTCGGGCAGCTGCTGCGGCGAGTGCTGCGCTGTCGGCGGCATTGTCGCTGTCCGCGCGATGGGAAGAGACGCCATTCGTGAGGGTTGACATTGGCGCAAGCTGGCTGAGAGGTGCATAGCTGCCTGAGCTTGCCAGCAGAGGTAGGGTGGGTGCAATCCGGGCCGGTGGGGGGTTGAGGTCGAGGTGCAGGTGAAGGTGTTAGCTGGCCCGAAGTGCAAGGTAGGAGGTTCGGTGAACCCTGCACACCGGTAAGCGAGTGTCGGTGTGGGCGCAAGGGAGGCAGATCAGAGTTTGGGCTGATCTGCCAACTGTCAAGTTTAAGGTGAAGCTATTGGACGAAATCTGGTAGAAATTTGCGATGCATCTTTGGAAAGGCCGTTAATTATTTACCGTATTCAAAGTTTACATATGTGCTTCGGCCGTTGACAAGCACAATCCGCCTGTGCCTCCTTTGCATGAATGCTGCCCCCATTTCTAAACCGCCTGACTGTAACCACCGGCCAGCCTCCGCCTGGCATACTTCCAATATTTTCTAAACTCATCCGCCCAGAACACCGTGCTGCAAAGCATCAACAGACCAACCAAGTCGAAGAAGCCCAACGCTTCCGTCTGGAAAACCTCCTGGAGCCAGGGGAAGTATATAACGAGCAATTGGCCCGCAATACTGAGCGAGACAGCCCAGTTGAAGAGCGTGTTGGAGAAGAGTCCAACTTCGCCTCGCAGAACCGACTTGGACTCGGAACGACAGGCCAGAGCGTTAAACATGTCAAATAATACAAAGCAAGTGAAGGTCATCGTAGTGTCGCGGCGGTTAACCTCGCCATCCGACAGCATCTCGCGGCTGTACACGAGCATAGTACCCAACATGACGATGGAAGCCGAGGTGAGGACGCGGTAAAGAACGGCTTTGGTGAGCACCGCATCATTGCGCTTGCGAGGAGGGCGATTCATGACATCGGCGTCGACAGCCTCCACGCCGAGCGATTGAGCGGGCGGTCCATCCATGATGATATCTGTGACTGGTTAGTAAGGTCGAGTAAGTGTGCACGGTGGAAAACTCACTAATCCAGAGAATCTGCATCGCATTCAGGGGCGACTTGAAGCCGAGTAGAGTGCAGAAGAATACCAATGACAATCCGGCAGCGCTTGTGCTAAGCTGGAAAGTCAGGAAGTTCTGGATGTTGTTGAAGATTCCCTTGCCCTCTTCAATGGCCCGTAGAATCGTCGAGAAGTCATCGTCTGTCAGGATCATATCCGCAGCCTCCTTGGCAACATCGGTTCCGTGTAAGCCCATGGAAATACCAATATCGGCTCGCTTCAGTGCCGGAGCGTCATTCACACCGTCTCCAGTCATGGCGACGATATCGCCTCTGGCCTGGAAAGCTTTAATGATTTTGAGCTTGTGATCCGGGTTCGTGCGAGCAAAAATAGTGGTGTGCTGAATCGCTTGAGACAATTCCTCTTCCGACATGGCATCAACGTCCTCGCCTCTGAGGACGGGACGAACGGCCAAAGCACTGGATCCCGCCTCACTTGCTTTGGCGATTGGCATGCCGAGCTGCCTGCCAATGGCAACAGCAGTGGTCTCGGCATCGCCCGTGATCATCACAACCTTGACTCCTCCACGCAGAAGCTTCCTAATCGAACGGCCAACCCCAGGCCGGGGGGGATCGCTCATACCGACCAACCCGGCAAAGGTAAGACCTCTATATGTCTCGTCTTGTTGAGGACGCGGGCTACCTGGAGTGCTGCTGCGAGTGGTTGGCGCTAAAGTCGTTCTGCCCTTGGTAGATCGTGACACAGCACCGCTGGCAAAGGCAAGTACTCGTAGACCCTTTGCAGCCATAGTCTCGGCTGCTTGAATGGCCTCGCTACGACGCGCAGAGTCGAGGACAATCTCTCGTCCGTCGCGAGTGAGATAGGTGTCGCAAGCGTCCAGAACTCTATCAATAGCCCCCTTCATGTAGGCAAATTCTTTGGAATCAGTTCCGATGGTGACTCCCATCCACTTCCGTTCAGAACTGAACGGAGTTTCGCTGAGACGGGGGCCAATAGACTCGCGAACGTCGTGCTCCTTGAATCTGTCGAGGAGATCAAGCATAGCAACATCGGTAGGTTGTCCACACCAGCGCGTGAAGGTCGAGGCAAAGTCAGTTCCCTGTGTTGACGAGAGCACGGCCCTGGCTGCTGCGCCATTTTCGGTGTACTGCTGTGCGAGGCGGCCGTTGTTTGCGATGTTACCAATACGCAAGATGCGCAAAGTAGCAGGATCAGGCTTAGTCTCGGTTGCTTCGTCGTCGGAATCTACATCTATGGCATCGTTGGCACCAAAGTACCACATCTTGGCGGTAGTCATATGATTCATAGTCAAAGTACCTAGAAAAAGTTAGCAAGGGTGTAGTACACGTGCGTTCGAGCATATCTCACCCGTCTTGTCGGTGCAAACAACGTTCACCGAGCCCAGAGTCTCTACTTTCGGCATTCTGCGCACGATGGCGTTGTGACGGGCCATTCTATGAACGCCGAGGGCCAAAGTGACCGTCACAATGATTGGCAAGCCTTCGGGAATAGCTGCAACAGCGAGCGAAATTGAAATGGTGAAAATCTCCATCAGCTTCTTACCCTGAAGCCAGCCTACCAGAGAGATCATGCCGATAATGACGAAAGACACCTTGCTCAGTTGGGAGCCAAGATCGTCCATTGACAATTGGAGTGGTGAGCGCGGACTTTCGGTTCCCGACACACTGGTTGCGATGGTGCCAAAATGGGTGTTCCCACCTGTCGCAAAGACAACTCCTTGCCCATGTCCGGATCTGACCAATGTTCCCATCCAAGCGATGTTGTTGTCGCCGCTTCCGCTGGCCTCTCTACCGTCAGACAGCGCCGAAGGGCTAGGTAATTGGAGGGTGTCGGCCCCATACGCTGGCGATAGCACACCACGCGATCGTGGATCAGCGGTAATTCGCACCGGCTCGTTCTCGCCCGTCAAGTTCGATTCGTCGATTGTCAGATCTGAGGCCTTCGTAACTCGAATGTCGGCTGGAATACGATCGCCCGTTGTGAAGTATACCAAGTCTCCCGGTACCAGCTGCGAGGCCATGACTTTTGACGACGTTGCTTCCAGCATTTCCTCCCCAGGCGTGCTTGATGCCACCGACTCATCTCCATCCATCGGGGGCTTCGGCGGCCAGGTGGGCGTTCGGGCACTACCTGGTGTCTTGTTCGATGCTGACCGGACCAGGTGGGCATGGTTCGGGACCAAATGACTGAGTGCCTCTATTGATTTTTCTGACCTGTATTCCTGGACAAAGCCAACTGTGACGACGATAGTGACTGCGACCGTGATGCTAACCGCATCGTCCATGTTACCAAGGAAGATGGAAGCCCCGGCTGACACCAGCAGCAGCACGATGAGCGGCTCTTGAAACTGTTTGATGAATCGTAACCACAGTGGTTCAGGCGGCTCATGAGGAATTTCGTTCGGGCCCCAATCGCGCAGTCGGTTCAGCGCTTCGGCCGCTGACAGACCGTGGGTGAGGGAAGTTTGCAGCCGGCTGGCAGCTTCTATTGATGTCAGGAAGGAGAACTCGTCCGCAACACTCTGTGAACCATCGATGTCAGCAAAACTCGTCGACGAGGATCAAGAGAAACCACGGCGTACTCTTGACTGCGCAGATGTCGTTCGGATGTGCCCAGGCCGCTCTCGCGGCGGTTCCGCCTCAAGGGGCTCCATGGGCATACTGTTCATGCCCGGCACCTTTGAGGCCAGAGGCAGCAAATATTCGCCATCGTCGTCGGAGGCTTTCCTCTTGTGCCACGGCCACTGCATGTCTGCGGGAGGCGAGGCAAGGCTACCTCGATCACGACCTTCCAGATGTTGTAGGAGGCCCAGTATCGGTCATCTGTTGCGGAGCCGGCCGAAAAGGGGACATGCGCCAGGGTGTGCAATGATGTCGTCGGGTCGCGGGAGAGGGTCTTATTAGGAGGACGTATCGCCCTTGGTCGGGTAGGTCTCAATTGGCGGTAGCTGGGTCCGAAGACATAGTTTCGCGGGCGTTGTTGACAGGTGAAGGAGGAAGGATGTCGTGGTAGGAGTTGAGAAAACGTGTGCCTTTTGCCAGGATAGCAAATGCACATTGCAAGGCCAAATCTGGACCTTTGAGGACCCAAAGTGCAGGGTCACAGGGCGTGTGCCAGCGCGCCTATGGGGCGGGTCCGTGTCTATTGGACCAGGGGGCCCTGGAACCTGGACTCGGGACCGCAATCGCCGCTCCGCATGTTCCAGTGGAGAGACACCGTAATACCACTGTGATAAGCATTCGATGCCGTGTTCAGGCGTCAGAGAGCTACATGATACTGCTAACGTGCCGGTCTCGTGGTTGCGGCACTCACAGCGTCATCAGAGCTAAGTGGAATGAATCGTTGGTCTTTTCTTGGTACGACTAGCAGAATTGCTATGTGGTACATGCACTAGCAAAATCATAGCTATGCGCCACAGGGATTTGCAAGATCTGTCGCCTTCCTTAGAACAGCGAGGACGATGTAGAAGAACTCTTACAAAGATTCGTCCAAGTCGCATACTTGACGCGTGGTGAAGCCAAAGTGTCTCCGGTCTATTTTTGCCGGGATTTCCAGGGTGCGCAACGACAGAAACGGACGGGGAGGCCCAATAGCAATTCAGATATTGGTGTTGCCCGTTTGCGGTTTCATCTCATCCGCGTGGTTCCAAATGAGGCGGCAGCCAGGTGAACTCCTCGGCTGGCGTTGTCCTCTCCAGTCATGCTCGTTGGCTTTCTGTAGAAGACTGCCTCATTGGATGTAAGAGAAAAGGTCTTTTTGCAGTCACGAAGAAGGAACCGCATATTGCAAACATTAACGAGGCTTAACCAACTCTGAGCTGCAAATGGCTGGGTCCAGTGCGTGTACCTTGCAGCGGACCATGCGCTAGATGGCTTCTTGGGAGGCTCAGAAGAATACCGAGCTGGAATCGAGACGCTTGAAGCTTGGATCGTGCCTGCTTAGGTAATACAGCCCAGGAGCTTAGACCACATCTCGACCAGTCCGACGGTAGATATCGGGACGGTCTGATACGGCAAGGGTGTTGAACTAAGTCAGGGGTTAGAGTTAACTCTCTGCGGGAAAAGTGATTCGTATACAAGTTTTTTTTGTCCATATCATGCGGGATCATTCAGAAGACATCTTGAAGAGCTGGTAAATTGCTTCTCTGTCTGATTTTAGAGCTCTTTGGCGTGTAAGTATCAGGTAATAGCAGCTAGGTACACCGGCCGCCGCTTCCGGGACGGTCGCCGGGACAGCAGGTGGACTGCCCAAAAGTGGAGCAACGGCCCTCACGTGATGTGGCTGGTGCCACTGTGCCACCCAAATTCTGCGCAAACCAATCCCTGCCCCATCCCAGCCCCGTCATTTTGCGTCCGCTGGGCCAACCGTCGAGACAGAATAGACCACTCACCACACCTTGATTCCCCCCTCCTACTCATTTCCTCCATCTCCCTCATCGTCGCTCATCGCGCTTTTGCTCCCATCGCTATCGCTACCCAAGCGCATTTCGCCTCCTGCGATACAAATTATTTGCTTCATGTCGCCGCGACTCGCTTTTTGCGCGTGCTAGACTCATTACCGACCGCTACATCGACAACGCGACCAAATTTGCACCACAACGCGTCCCCTTGTTTACCAGAGCAAGCTTCCGAGCCGAACCCGCCCCTCCAACCCCGGCGCGCGTCGCTGTATAATACCTCACGAGCAATAGCTCTTCTTCATAACCCCTCTCCTTCACCAACTTGCATCAAATCGATCCCGAGCCGTCGCCATGTTCTATTCCGACGCGCTGCTCGGAAAGAGCGGTCCTCTTGTCCGCGTATGGCTGTCCGCCAACCTCGAGCGCAAGCTCTCCAAGACGCACATTCTGCAGTCCAACTTGCCCGACAGTGTAGAGGCAATCATCACACCCGGCCAGGCCCCCATGGCCTTGCGTCTAAGCGGTCAGCTGCTGCTCGGTGTCGTCAGAATTTACAACCGCAAGGCCCGCTACTTGCTCGAGGACTGCAATGAGGCTTCCATGAAGATCAAGATGGTGCGTTTTCTTCCTTGCACCCATCGCTGACGCGTTTCACTGACATTGTTAGGCCTTCCGCTCAAGCGACAACCACGATATTCCCGCCGCCAACCTGTACGTCAACAATCGCGAAGCTCTGTTGCTGCCTGATAAGATCACTCCACTCGACAATCTCGACCTGCCCCCGCCTCCCGATGCTGCCTGGCTTTTGTCGCAAATGGACGATGTGACGGCCACCCCTGTGGGTCGCAAGGGCCGCGTTAGCAACCGTGACATCAACCTGCAGGAGGATTTCAACAACAGTCAGTTCCTGAACCAGGCAGACACCCTGGATGATGAGCTGGAGTTGGCGCCAATGGAGGATCTCGACTTGGAGCTGGACTTTGGCATGGACGTCGATGAGCCTATCGGCCGTATGGACACTACGATCGAAATGGGAAGAGACGCGCCCCTTGCCCGCTCTGTTGAGGACGACATCTTCAGCGAGCTCGACATCATGCCGCGCGGAAAGGACCAGCCGGAACGCGAGGCCTCACTCGGCTTGGATCTCAACTTCGGCGACGACAACGTTCGCATTGCTGACGAGGAGGGAGACATTCAAATGGGTGACGACAACGACTTCCAGTTCCCCATCGCCGATCAGTCCGTCGTTCCTGGGGCCCCTCTCGACATGGCTCGCGCCCGCATTTCCGAGTCCCCGCTTTCAGAGATTGACCCCGAGTTCGCAAGGGAGGTTGAGGAGGAGTACTCTCGCATCCAGCACACCGACCTGTACGAGCCTGATGAGGATCAGGATCTGTCCGTCGTTCGCCACCCTCAGCGCGCCAAGAAGAGGAAGGTTCTCCAGCCGGATGAGCAGACCATGCTCTCCAGCACTCACATCAAGGACCAGCAGGCCAACCACGCGAACATTCTGAGAGCTCAATCTTTCCTGCCCAAGGACCCCTTCGTCCTCGCTTTGATGGAGATGCAGAAGAGCGGAGGTTTTGTTTCTAACATCATGCTTGAGGGACGCGGCACAAACTGGGCACCTGAGCTGAGAGGCATGCTTTCCCTCGAGGCTATCAGCCGATCCAGCGAGCTGAAGAGAAAGCGCGACAGCGGCATCGCCGATGTGGAGAGTGATCAGGGTATCTCGTCCAAGTCACCACGCCTGAACGTGGATGAGGAGGATGCTTTCGCTATTGAAGATGCCGGCCTGGGCAACCAAAGTGTTGCAGCAGACGGCACCATCCTTGAGATCCCGGCTGAGGACGATGGCATGGGCTTCGGTGGAGACGACGACACTGCCAGACCCGTCTCTCGCGAGGCAAGCCCGATGCCGAACTTCGACGACACCGTTGCGCCCAACGTCCACCCCGAAGACAGCGGCCCGGTTTCCCTCGGCACCAAGCATGCCGTGCACGTCCTCAGAGATATTTTCGGCCCCGACGCCGAGCACGATGCCGACAAGCGTAAGAAGAGCGCAGTTGTCTTCCAAGACTTGCTCCCCGAGAAGAGAACAACAAAGGCCGACGCGACAAAGATGTTCTTCGAATGCCTCGTCCTCGCGACAAAGGATGCGATCAAGGTCGAACAGGGCGAAAACCTGGGAGCTCCTATCAAGGTCCGCGCAAAGCGTGGCCTCTGGGGCGCCTGGGCCGAGCGCGAAGCTGGCGGCGAGATTGCAGAGGAGGAGGAGGCTAATCAGCCAGAGCCTGCTGCTGTCAGCGCGCCCGCCGTCGCCGTTGAGGCATAGATGCCGGTCGCATTTTTGACGAGGAGTTTCCGATTGATGCATAGCTGTTGGGTCAGGATCTTGGCATGTAAAGTACATTGTTCTTTCTCCCTGTTGGACTAAGTTTGGGGTCGGTCCTGGAAATGGCACCCGGCCAAGTGGCGTTCGGAGTACCGGAGGCTGGAGAGATACCAGATGCTGTTGCGGCCTGGGAGGGAAAAAGCATGATTTGGGTTCCAGAGCCGCGTCTCTTTGTTCTTGTTTATTGGAGGTTTAATGTCGTTTTCTGGGTTTTGCGCGTTGCTAGTATAGCTCGTTTTGATGGCTCCAAGCCCAGGATACCGCAGTAGCTACTTAGCTGTTCTTCATCGTCAATGAAGCTAGACATTTCCTTCCAACTTGAATAGTACCATATGCTATGTGATGTGAGCAAAGCTCGACGCAATCCGTGACTGAACATGCCGAATCCTCCTCGGCTCTCGGGATCGTGGTCAACATGCCGATATCCCACCGGGCGAGTATCTTGGACAACTTCAAACCCACAGACTATTATCAAGGCCAAGGCCCTCGGGCGGACGAGACTGAACTTTTCCCCCGCTTTAGAGATATCCCCAGATTGTTTGTTTGACAGACAAACGCGGGGAATCCTTGCTCAACATGCAGCTCATCCTTACCTGTGCATACAGGGACCGATCTATTGGACATACGTGAGCCACATACTCGCAAAAAGATATCCTTCGATATGGCTCGTCCTGCGCTCTATGCACTCCGCACGACTCCCAAAACCCCGCGGGGACCCCAAGATTTCCCCGGAGTTGAATTCCAGAGATATCACTGGCTGAGATGGCGTCGGCATCTTGAACGGTCGGTATCTTGGGTTATATAAGGGTGGCTTTCATCACACGGATCTATGTATGCTCTCTACTATCCTCCTTTTAACAGCCAATATCGAAGCTCCAAGTTATCTCTCTTCATCACCGGTACCATGGGTTTCGCAGCAGCCGAAGGGACGACCGACCCCCCTGAGGTCCGCAACTGGACGATCCATTACATCGCCCTCGTGGCCTCCATGGCAGCCCTCTCTAGTAAGATTACGAGAACATCCCCGTCACTAATTCAGATCTCGACTTACACAACTTCTCTTCCTTAGTGGGCTACGACACCGCCGTGATCGGCGGCACAATGTCGCTCGACTCCTTCGTCCGCGACTTCGGCATCGACAACATGACCCCCTCGGAGCGCGACAACTCCCAGGCCAACATCGCCTCCATGTTCCAAGTCGGCGCCTTCTTCGGCGCCCTGCTGACCTTCCCCGTCGCCGAGAAGTACGGCCGCAAACGGGCCATCATGACCGCCGCCCTCATCTTCTGCGTCGGCGGCGCCATGATGTCCGGCGCGAACGGGATGCTGGAGCTTGTGTATGCCGGACGGGCGATCGGCGGCTTGGGCATCGGCATGGCGACGATGACGGTGCCGGTGTACATTGCTGAGACGTCGCCACCGAGCATCCGCGGGAGGCTGGTGGGCGTGTTTGAGATCTTCTCGCAGGGGGGCGGGATGCTTGGGTTCTGGATCAACTACGCCACGGACCGGACGATTGACGAGCGGCAGAGAGCGCAGTGGATCGTGCCGTTGGCGCTGCAGCTTCTTCCGGCTGTACTGCTCTTTTTCGGGATCATTTTCTGTCCGGAGTCGCCGCGGTGGTTGGCCCGTGGGGATGACTTCGAGGCGGCGGAGAAGGTATTGGTGTATATTCGCGAGCTCCCTGCGGACCACCCGTATGTGCAGAATGAGATGAGAGAGATCAGGCAACAGGTTGAGGAGAGGAGCACGATACGGTTGAGTAAGAAGCAACAGTTTCGAAAGTTATTGGCCCCAGGGACGAGGAATCGGGTCGGAGTCGGCGCCTTCCTCATGTTCCTGCAAAGTTTCACGGGAGTAAACATCATGACATACTTCAGCCCAAGAATCTTTGAGACGTTGGGTATCGTCGGAACCAGGTATTTATCCCTTTTTAGAGACGATGGGATGATGCTGACAACTCTTCTGTAGCAACAAGCTATTCAGCACCGGCATTTATGGTGTTGCTAAGATGCTGGGTATGATACTCTTCGCCGTATGGGTCGTCGAGAAGATCGGTCGTCGTGGAGGGCTTCTTTGGGGATCCATCATAGGCAGCCTACCTCTATGGTACGTTGGCGGCTACGTGATGATTGCAGACCCAGCCACAAATGCCGCCGAAGGAAACATCCAGTTGAGCGGATGGGGCTACTTTGCCATGGTCTGCATTTATCTGCACTCTTTCATAATTTGCGCGACGATTCAGGGAATCACCTGGACATATGCGGCGGAGATCTTCCCGTTGGATGTCAGAATGTTTTGCGTTGCAATTTCAACGGCAAGCACATGGCTGGGTTCGTTCGTGGTGGCGAGAGCCACGCCGTTCATGATCACAGACCTGGGGTACGGAACTTACTTCATGTTTGCCGGATTCTTGATAGGGATCGGGTTGTGGTCGTTTTTCTGTGTTCCCGAGACGAAAGGTGACTACTTCCATTTGAACCTAGTAATTTTCCGTCACTAATGCTCCACAGGAGTCTCACTGGAAGAGATGGATGCTCTCTTCTCACGGCCTACTCATGTTGTCGTCTGGGCACAACATCGCGGCAGGCCGATTCTTCCTCAAGACAACATTTCAGTCGCCGGATCCATGGATAAGAACGGCGCAAAGGTCGATGAAGTGGCATAGTCGATGCATATCGGCGGCCGATTTCACCGATGCCCCTGATCGGTGAACCCGGTGTCCGTTCGGTCCTTGGCCCGGCCCCACCTCGGCTACAGCTCCGTCTAGACGCCGTAAGCTTTATTTGGTCATGGTGTCTCAAAGATGAAAGGCACGATTAGGGAAGCTCCGAATTGCAATCAAACCCCTTACAAGCGCTTATCTTACGTCCCGAAATGTTAGCAGAGTCCGGCGCTGACGTGGGGTCAGACTATGCCGGCGATCCGGCATAGATAGAACATTAGCATAAGCCTTTACAGTAGCCAATAGATCCGCCTGTAACAACTGCCTATTTTCTGACATGTGCATACGAGATTCCAGGCGATCTCATCAAAGTGATCATCATACACGTTGATTTAAACTGCCAAGTCCAGCAAACATTAAATCTGCGAACTTTATCTTACCCCTCAGTGCACCTCTCTTCGTCCCTGGCAAACCGTCCAATTTCGCATCAAACAAAGAGTCGCCCTTCTATGGTTTTCGGCAGCTCTTTCAATCTGAAATTTAAAAAATGACGATAAGATCGCGTTTCGTGGAGCCGATTCCCACATGTTCCCTTCAGACATGGATATTTGGCTCCGCTACTGAAGAGTTGCCGGATTCCCAGAAGCCAGTATTCATCGATGCCGATCGTCCAGAATCCCATGTAGTGTCAAGATCAGACTTCAGGCTACTTTCCAAACGAATAGCACTGGGACTCATCAACGTCGGCCTCGAACCGCAAGACCGGGTTCTGGTGTACTCCGGCAATACCATTTTCTATCCGAGCCTCTTCCTCGGTGTGTTGATGGCGGGCGGGATCTACACTGGAGCGAGCCCTAACTTCACCGCTCGCGAACTTACACACCAGCTACGAGACTCGGGTGCCAAGTTTGTGTTTGCAGCACCAGAGAACCTTCCAGTCGCCATTGAAGCCGCCTTGTCTGCCGGCATATCACCAAGTAGAGTTTACATATTCGGAGCGGATGATTACAGAGCTATCCCGCAGTTCGTCGCTTTCAGTGACGCTCATAACAACGGACCTCGGCATTGGACTGAGCTGATATCTGAGAACGAAGCCGCAGCTTCAGATTGGGTTTGGTTTGAGCCGGAGGATCCTGCATCGACGACTTGTTGTCTGAACTACAGCAGCGGGACAACCGGGGTACCCAAAGGTGTTGAGGTTACACATCATTCCTATGTCGCCAACTGCGTTCAAGTCATCAGTCTGTTGGACAAAGCCCCGGGAATTGAAAAGTTCAGACAGAGGGAAAGGACACTGTGCTTCCTGCCTCTTTATCATGCATTTGCGCAGACATATTTTGGGGCCATCTTTCCTGCTCTGCGTGTACCGATCTACATCATGGCTGCATACAACTTTGAGAGAATGCTCCAGCATATCCAGAATTTCCGCATCACCACGCTCGTTGCCGTACCTCCCGTCCTGGTCAGCATGGCAAAGAACCCGATAGCCAAGAAATACGACGTGTCCAGCCTCGAGAACATCAGTGGGGGCGCTGCTCCGCTGTCAGGAGACACAATCGAAGAAGTCGGCAAGATGTGCTCGCCTAGTGCATCAGTCAGGCAGGGATGGGGGATGACGGAGATGACCTGCTACATCTCCAGCTGGGATCCTAATGTGAAAAATGAGAGCGCTTCAGTCGGCGAGCTGATGCCGAATCTGTCGGCGCGGCTGATGCAGCTGGATGGCAAGACCATGATCACGAGGCCACACGAGCGTGGCGAGATTTGGCTGACGGGGCCGACGCTCATGAAGGCTTATTGGAAGAACGAGAGAGCAACGGGCGACACGGTGCATGTGGATGCCGATGGGACTAGGTGGATGAAAACCGGCGACGTCGGGTTTGTCGATCGGTATGAGACGGGCGCACTCTTTTACATTGTTGATCGTATCAAGGAGTTGATCAAAGTAAAGGGGATCCAGGTTGCGCCGGCTGAGCTGGAGGCTACCCTGTTAGAGAACGAGAATGTGTCGGATGCCGCTGTCGTAGGAGTAACGATCAACGGGCATGAGGTTCCTCGAGCTTACGTCGTCAAATCCGGCGGCTCTCAAATTACTGCTGAGGAAGTTGCTCAGTGGATGGAGGGCAAGGTTTCGAAGCATAAACATCTCAAGGGAGGTGTTTGCTTCATTGACACAGTACCAAAGAATCCGGTAAGTGGAGAATCATTCACACCGAGTCTGTACTAACGCTCACTGTACAGTCCGGAAAGATTTTGCGTAGGGCGTTGAGAGACCGAGCACAAGAGGAAATAGGCGACAGAAAGCCTTCCGATTCGAAACTTGTTTGAAAAGCACCGCGAGATTCTTGACTTGTGAGATGACGTTTTCTCTTTTTTACAGGATGATTGCGGCTTTCCGAGTAGAACTTCAAAGCTTGTTTCTCTTGCAAATCCGCTGCATCGTTTGACAACAGTGGCTGTAGCACTTCGAAAGCCTTGAGAGATCGGACATGTAAGCGAGAGAGGTGTAGAGTAGAAATGAAATGTTATGGATGTTCACAGAGGCGGAATAGGCAATATGATGACTACCCCGGATACAGTATTCGGGATCAAATACGATAAACTCAAGGTTTTTTCAAGCCGATACTTTGCAGGAGACTCAAGATATATTTGTGGCTACTTCCAGAATGAGACCTCCTGGTTATCCCCTAGAAGATCGCCACAGCTCCTGGCGGGCTAGCAACGCCGCCAGGGACGTTCAACGGCACACTCACAAACATGAACGACCATCTCTGCTCCTTCTTACATTTCGCGGCCAACTCTTCGAGATCGAAACTCTCTCCAATAGGCATGCCCCATCCGCTGAGGAAGACTTCGTGCATGCTAACACCCCATAGCTTCGGACTAGGCCAAGCTTCATATGCGACTGTGTCAGACGCTACAGCCGCGAAAGCGTTGTCCCAGTGCCATTGAATCGACTCTTCAGTCGCTGCAACCCCGCAACTTGACCTGACTTGCCGATGTGGTAGCGCGGCTTGCTGGTCCACAGACAGAGCGCGATAAGCTTCCAGCCACCCGGTGCGGACGAGAAGTATATCGCCAGTACGGAAGTGGACCTTTTGGGCGCTCGCAACGGCCTTCAATTCGGAGAGTGGAATACCGTGAGCTGAGAATGGATCAATCTGGATACCTTGTTCGATGGCCCAAGAATACCAATCCAGAAGAACGCCTCGGCCAGTGACCGTCTTGTTGGCGATATCTGTTTTTTGTTAGTGATCTAGGTCGGGCGGTTGTAAACGCGGCACTCACTTTGGAGTCCAATCTTTAAGTTAGATTTAGGACCAGATATGTCGTCTTGAGTCACACCGTTGTAGTACTGAAGAGTCGACTGGTAAGGATAATGTCGAGGACCGTCCCAGTGACTTGATCCCTGGGTATTGATGTCTAGCTAGCAGATGCCGTTAGAAGAGTCCACGCCAGCCTGTCCTCTCAAAGCAGCTCACTTCGTCATCATTTGCATGTCCTTTAGCAATGATGTTATGGGAACATGGCTTGCGGACTGGGTTCATCGGTTGGATAAATGCATTCAGGGGAAGACTGACGGAGATGAACGATGTTAGCATTCACGAGTGCATGGGAATAGGACAAGTGAGGGACTGCAGCTTACTTCAGGGGTACCGTTTCTCCAGTAACAACCTCAGCAGTCGCAGCCTTGACCAGAGATGGGTTGAGTAAATTGAGAGTTCCCAACTCATCTTCAGCACCCCATAAGCCCCATGCAGATGCTTTTGGGTCACCCTTGCGGAGGGGTAAATCGCTGAAACTCGGCCGAGAACTCGTCTTAGTCGTCGTGATAGCACCCATGTTTCTGTGTCGAAGTAACATATATTTACTGTTATCTTCGAATGATATATCTCGAATCAATCACGGTATATAACAGACCCGGAGACATTCATCCGACAGTGGCCGCGCCAGTGCCTGTGTCGGTGCCAGATTCCGGATTGGGGTCCACTTCCCCGGCCTTTTGTGGAAAGCAATGCCGATGGTGGTTCGGCAAGATCGGTATGCTCTTCGGTACTTGAGTCACAACAAATATGATGCGGGGTCAAGTCTCTCAATTACATGCGGTTGGCAAACTTCTTACGTAGTTGCTACCATGCCTTCGTCTTAGTAAGACTGTACTCCGGAGGTGTTCAACTGAACGCGGTAAAGATGGTCTCTCCCCGCGATGTAAAGCCAGTCCTCTACCCACTGCATATTCACGGCAACATCGCCCTCCGCGACTTTGATAATACCGAGCTGCTTGCCGCTGGAGTCGAAAATACTCACTCCGCCCGTCACTCCTCCGTATACTCGACCATCTCGGTCCACCTTGATGCCGTCCGGAAACCCTGAGTCGGCATATGCGAAGACATCGCCGCCGCGCAGTGGAAGTCCTTCTGAACGGATCTGGTGTTCATAGATCGTGCGACCGCCAGCTGGATTGTCTGACGCATTGCCGCGGTTTGTGATGTAGAGCTTGTCCTCCTCGAGGTTCAGGGCAACACCATTTGGATTGGTGAAAGGACCACCACCAGCACCGGCGACCATCCTGAGGTCGCTAGTCTTCATATCCCACCTCCAGACTCCGTTGGTTAACTCCGGCTTCAAGGTGTCGTTGAAGTTATCATAGCCGTAGTACCCATCAGTGAAGTAAGCAACCCCGTCCCGGGTGATAACCACATCGTTGGGGCTGTTGAATCGATGACCGAAGAAGTTGTTAAGAACGATCTCTGTTTCCAGTGTGACAGGATCCATTCGAACAATACCGCCGGGATTGGTGTAGTTGCCCTCTTGTGCCCAGTAGACACTCCCGTTGTGGTAGTAAGCGCCGTTAGGGACTGTGAGCTGTGGCGAGGGATAGACCTTCTCCGTTGTCGGTGGCGTGTTATTGAGATTGACTCTCCAGACCCATGGCATCGCGTCTGCTGAGAATCCTTCCTTTGGTGGGTGTAGCTCGGCGAAGAAGATGCAGTTGCATTCAGGTGAGAAGACAGTTCCGTCGTGTACTATACGCCGCGAGAATGAAGGTCCCGGGGGGAAGTCGAAGATCGACTCAATTGCAGCGAACTCAGTGCCATCCTCCACTTGTAATATCTCGCAAAACGTCAGTTAAACTCCTTGCCTTTGGAAACAAATTTATGTAAATACCTGATACATATCCTTGTCTAAGACGATGAATGAAGCATTTGCGAGAGCTGCGCTGGCTTCTGCAGCGGCCTCTGTTGAGTGTCCATCGAGAACTTCGGTGCTCCACCAGGTTGTCGTGACGTTGCGGTTGAAGTTCTCGGCTGGAAACACATTCCTGAGACCAGCTGGTACCTCATATGCGGTGGGAAAGTTGTCGGTGGAAGCTCGAGGGCTCACAAGCGGGATACTTGCAGCCTGTGCTTGGGGAACGTCTCTGAGGAAAGAACCCACTGTCACCAGGAGGGAAACCAATATGAAAGAAGTTGACGTCATCATTGAAAGCCAGATTAAAGATTGCTTTTGGCCTGGCGCTGTTCACCTAGATTCATTCCTATCAGGACATCTCGGCTGATATCCTACTACTTTTTATGATTTCCAAGTCTTCATACCCCGCGTTGCTATATTGTGGAATGAGCCGTGATGATCGATGAGGTGGACCATGGAAATGGGTTACAAAATCAAGTTTCTCGATCGCGTTGGCAGAGACTTGACCAGACTACCTAGAAGTCGGATTTGCATACCGAAGTGTGGATGAAGGGTTACAGTGGTTGCTCATGTGACAGAGGAAACTTCCACAAGAATCGCACTAGGAAATTTGGCAAATATGACCATTCAAGAATGTCAGGCGTTCAGAGTCGTTGTCATTGGAAGCTCTCGGCATTCGATAACGACGGCCACAACATGCCGGCACCAGAGAACGTCGATAAGCCGGCAACCCCCCAAGGGAAGGCGTCGGGATGAAATCCGGCGCCAGTGTCCGTACCACCGTATCCAATGTCATCATTCCATACTCCGCCGTCATTTGGGGGGAAGAGCGAGTTGTTGTTTGTTGCAGATGAATCGGCTGATGCGGAGAATTGGCCTGGGGCTGAGCCAAGAAGCCCGCCGTTACCGTTGGCGTACCCGCTTCCGTTACTCTCGGTATTCGTCGTGCGGGGTTGTCGTTGGCTGGGCTGTTGCAAGTGATTCCTCGGCATGGGTGTCTTCTCATGCCCGCCGTTTCTTGAAGGCTGTCCCGTACTCAAGAGTCTTCGGATAGTGTCCAGACTCCGCCCGCTGCCAGGTGTATGCGAGGCTTCCTTCTGCAGAATTCTGAATGCGGCTGCAAGACGCGCTGCAGCATCTTCTCGGTCTTGTTGTGTCGTTGCTCTTTTCAACTCTTCCGTCTCAACAGTTGCTGCGGTATAGATGCAGTAGCTGACTTGATAGGTCATCAGCCTATGAGGAAACGTTTGGGAGTACAAAGAATGAATGGCATGAATCTTCTTCGAGTGTTCGATGCAAACTTTCATGCTTCGCTCTTTCAGGTCCTTGTCTGAAGAACTGAGATAGGGTCGCCTGAGAAGGATATGAAGGGCATGGTAAAGAAGACTGCTATTGTGTCAGTTGCATGCTTTCTCTTACATTGGACCAACGTACTTCAAGGAAACAATATGCGGCGGCGGACTTTGTCTCAAGCCAGAGATATCCTCTATCTTCAGAGCAGCAGGCATGCTATCATACCATTCATGGATTCTGCTATCAATGTCTGCAATCTGAGAGGCAAACTCGTCATTTTTGGTCAGACTAGAGAACAATAACATCATGGATGTTGTGATTTCATGTAGATGACAAAAAGCGCAAAACGTTGATGTAGTCCAAGAAGGCAAAAGAACATAGTTCTCGGAAACCTCAGTGGCGTGGACCGGCTTCCAGAGGCGTTGATCGTCAACTTTATCCAGTATTTCTTGAGCAGGGTATGGACGTCTTGTCAATGAGGGAGGACGCCCGAGGGCGAGGCTCAGAGTCTTGTCCCATATGTACGCGGAGTTGTACAATCGCTTGCGAGTCTCGATCTCGGCCGGTGTCCATCGCTCCAGCCTCGACAACTTAGTAATATCAAGGTGAAGACCAATGTCTTTCATCATGCGGATGGCCATACCAGTGTAAAGCCATCCTTCGGAGCTCTTTCCCGTAGCGCATTGTCTGCCACCCAGAATCAACAGCCCCTGAATGGTAGGTATGGCTGGTTTCGTTGCTGCCATCTCTTGGAGGAGTAACTCTCGAGCACGAGCGATGAAGCGCTCTCCTTTGCTGACACCGGAGGTATCAGAAGCTTCTTCAGGCAAGTGCCTCGCTGCCAACCCAAAGATGCATAGTAACAGAAAGTCAGAGCAGTATGGGCCTCCCAGTGCCAGATCCATCATTAGAATAGGCCTGTAGACGCAGCTATGCAAAGGGTGCAACCATGACCAGTAGATGTCTAGCAGGGCCATACCAGTGGTTGCATCTACTCCTGTCCCATTCATTCCTGGCTTGGCAGCAATAAGAGGCAGCCAGACGGAGTCCATTAGAGCGTACTGGGACTGCAAGGTTTCGATGTGGCCCCGTATTGGGTCGCTCGCCTCGTTAAGATTGTCTTCCTCCAGAGCCCCGGCGTGGAAACGACTTGTAGGGCCATTGTAGATGACTGCTCCATCCTCTCCAATGCCAACCTGGAACCACAAAGAGCCCTCACCGTCGGGTTCTGTGGTAGCTGTTGCCCGACTGCCGTCGTTTGATGGTCCATGGGTAGAATCCGACGTTGCATTTGTCTGGGGTGTGTATGTCTCATGCCTCTGGTTCGTGCTCGGAGACCTAGATGTTTCATTTTCAGGCTCTCTCATTGAAGCTTCTAGGCTTCTAATTCGGGCGTTGGCTTCGCGTAGTCGGGATTCCGCCGTGGTGGGCGCCGGCCAGACACACTCCTCGCCTGACCGGCGACACCCAGTGCAGATGGGCCGGTGTCCACTGCATTTGACTTTGCGGGATTTGCAGCTGGAGCAAGCAAATCCATATCGGCGTGACTTCCGGGTTGCCGAAGACGTCGGTCCTGAGGTTGAAGGTCTCGGTATCTCTGCCGGACTCGTCGCAGAGTCCGAGTTCGAGGTTTGGGTCGGCATTCGGAAAACGTCTGTAGGCAAACTTCCGATCATCCGCGATGAGAATGATCAAGATCACGAAGAGTTTTGATTCATGTTGACAGAATTACTGGATAGCGAGGAATGATGTTAACCTTCGGAATCTTGAAAGGCTCGACGTTGATTTAGCGTGTCCACCTCGGCATCTGTGGGATTTGCGGGGTCAACATCCTAGATGCCCGTTCCCCCGCGAACTCCGGCCCCACGGCAACTCTCCTGCCCCCCATTCAGCACCCGATAGGTGATTAGACTTCAAATGATGTTCTCAATGGGCGAACATACACTTTCACGCGTTTCTCACAACATGAAGGTTATGACAGATCGGTGTAATCCTCATGAATGTAGGCAGTCTTCATTTTGACAGTACACATCAATTTCGTGTGACTTTCATGATACCACCTGCCAAGCTGGCATACCACGTATGTTTTGAGTTACGGCTTTTGTCTTCTCGATTGAAGTCAACTCTTCAATGGCTGTGAAATCAGAGACTATGGATGCTCCTGCCAGACCAACCAATCTTCACGACTATGAAATGTGTCTCAAGATTCATGTTTCTGTGCCGGATAAGTGTACCTAGTTGAAAGAACAAAACCGGGAGATAGCTGTTATTGTCTTTGTAATAGTCACTGTTGCCACACTCCGTATATTGTGGTAATGCTCAATTTACCCTCGTTGAGATGGTTTTCTTGACTGTCACCCCATCTTTCTGGTCAACTTCCAAGGTTCTCAAAGAACGTATCTATACATGGGATGATCGTCGCCCTTGTCCGCAACTTCAGCCGGAACATAATCCAAGTCACTCTTTCCATACTTCTCGTCTCGTTTCTTATTCTGAAACTTCAAGCAAAGGCTAAGAATAGTAGCCAAAGCAGCAGCAGCGAACAGGATGCCGGCACAGGTCCACATACCCTTGGCGTACCACGGCTGGTCCGTCTTGGGGAATAAGCGAGCACCCAAGATCGGACCACATTGACCGACCATGCCGAAGATAGCCAGTCCGGCGCCACGCTTGGATGCCGAACCTTGGTTGTCAGTTACCCAGGTGAAAGTAAGGGCAACAGCTGGGAAGACTCCTGCGCAGACGAGGAAGGTCGCAAAATAGCGGACACCGGTGGTATGGATGGTGGCCAATAAGACATATCCGACGGCTCCGGTGCAGCAAAATAGAACGATGAAGATCCCACGGGTTCTGAAACGATCGGAGACAAAACTCGCCGTGACGCACACCACGTAAGCGGCCAGATAAGGACAGGCAGAGAAGCCTTGTGCGTGAAGCGAAGTGTACCCCATGGCCTGAAGAATTGTAGGTAGATATGCTGGCAACGAGCCGAAAGCGGTATTGAGACAGAAAATGATCAGTGCCTGCAAATAGTTTTTGTAGTCGTAAAAGGCAGCAAAAGCCTGCTTGAAGTTGAGCTTTCCCTCTCTCTTCTCACCCCGGCCCTTGAAAGCGCGATGACTGATGATTTCATTTTGTCGGGGGGTGAGAAACCGGCACTCTGAGGGCGAGGGTGGGAGATAGAAGTAGGCTACTATGGCCAGGAGAATCGTTGGGGAACCCTCTACGAGAAGTTTGGTCAGCTTCACGAAAAGAAAACAAACAGTTGCAATGGCCTTGACTTACCGACAAGAAACAAGAGCTCCCAATTGGGTATAGACGACTTTGCACTGACAAGACCATACGCCAGTGCAGATGCAAAGCAGCTGGCTAGGGGAGAGAACGATATGAAAAGACCGTATCGAAGCCCCATCTCCCCTCGGTGGTAGAAGAAGGTCATGTATAAAGCAACAGCCGGCACGAAACCAGCCTCAAATGCTCCAACGAGGCTTTCATCAATCGTCAGCTATATTGCCCAACAAAATAAGTTAAGATAACTCACAAGCGCAGTGCCATGATTCCTGCAAAGTTATGGGTAGCGGCCTGAAGCATACTCATGGAGCCCCAACCAATCGCCATGAGTGCTGTCCAGAGTGGCAGCGGGACGAAAGTCCACACGAGAATGAGCTTTGCAGTGTCAGCGGATTCAATGACCATTGAGAATGAGTGCAGAGTTACCCAGTGGAACAAGATGTAACCAATGTACAGAATTGTGACAATCCAAGAATAGTCTTCAGATGTAATTCCCCATTCCTCGCCCATGCCAGCCGTGTAGGCATTCCCTACATTACCTCGATCTATGTAAGAAACAAGGTACAAAGCGCCCAGTCTATGTTCAGTCAGTAAGTGATACGAGAAGAAACTGTTGATGACTTACAAAGGAATCAGATTCCAATCTAACTTCCTGAGAGCTTGTCCCTCTTCTTCTTTCGACCACGTGGGAGCAGAGTGTTCCTCAATCTTCATGGCCTCATTGTATTCATCGCCCTCGACGTGAACAGTGCGATCACCGTGTTCATTCTCGACTAATTCTTGCTTATGCTCCTCGTGTGGCTGTGATGCTGCCATTGTTGCTGACAAGGCGTGTTGTCTGTATTGTACGCTGGCTTGATAATATGTCAAGTCCAAGGAGAATACCTCAGCATGGAAGCCGGTGGGATAGACATGAGTGAAGCTTGAACTTATATTCAAAGGGTTTCTGCCAAAGAGACCGGCCCAACGGATAGTTGAGGCCTGTGAGACGATAATTCAAGAGCCAAGGACACAGATCGCGCTATGGAGACGACCCCACGGGGAAGGGTCCCATCATTGTGGAGACGCACGAGCGCATGGATAGGAATGGGCAAGTCAGCCTAGTCAAGGCAAGGTCGGTATCAATGCCGACGCCTCAAAAGTCATGTTGTTGCTCAGGAAAAGCGCGGGCTTCATTGACTCAGGTACATGATCGTAGCAAAGAATTCGCCAGTTGCCTTCGGAGTCGTTAGATTAGCTGATAGCTCCACAAGAGCTTAGCTATCCGGCGGAGTATCGACCTATATTATCCGTTTCACTCTTATTGTTCAAAATGACTTCTTATTCAGTGGCTTTTCTGTCTATATATCGCATCTTAATCTTATTATTACTGTCGTCTAGGCCGTCGCTACTATTATCTTATAAACACCCTCTCTTTTATAGTAAAGACACTTTTGAATAGGAGCAACGAAGTAACATGTGATATTTCATGTAAAGTTACTAATTTAAATATATTTATGCTTTTCTTCTCTAAATATGATTATTAAGGAGCTTTCTTATGGCTAAATACGTATACCTGTTTGAGTATTGTTGTATTATTATGCTCTAGTCTGAATAACTTCAATTCCAACCCCTTTGCTCTCATACCTATATCCTTCAACATGTTCTCGCTCTGGTCTCCGCATCTAGAACCATGATTTTCGATGTCTCCTAAGACTTTAAAAAGATAATATCTATGCTCTAGTTAATATCTGACGGCTCGGCTGAAGAGCAGTCTCCCCTTCTAATCAAAAGAGTAAATATTAAGTATAAGAATTTAAAATACTAGTTCCACCTTGTTTTCGCGGAGTGGCACATCCGCGCCCTACCTAGTACTGTAAGTGGGTAAGATGAATCATGATGACAAGTCGCTACACCAAGAGATGCCGAAGTATGTGTAGCTGGGACAATGCCGAAGTTCATTGAAGATGCCGACGGAGACCCCGCATTTCGGAGAGTGATACCGAGTCGACCACCCGCACAACCGCGGGTGTGAGAAAGTCAGAGAGCCCAGAACGAAAGATTGCACCGACTTCGGACAGAATTGCACGGTATCTGTGGAGAGTAGCAACTTCTCGTCGCGTGCGTCGTTTTGCAACCGATTACCGAGGGAAATACCCATGTGACTTCTAGCGGAGACCCGGAGGCGTATAATCAACGCTTGCATTTACTACTGACGCCTCAGCCCTGGTTGTATCGAACATAGAAGAGGACCAACATCATCACGCAGGACTTTTATAAGTTTTGAAAAGATTCATACCTCGAGGCATCTCATCGGCGCAGTTCACCTGCCAGCACAGCGAACATGCCAGCTACCATCAACGGCTCAGACGGGCATCAGCCCATCGATGAGTTCACCATTCTCACGCCCAATGCTATGCTCGGCTATGGATATGACTCAGATCACTTCTGGTATGGCATTGAAAAGTACAAGCCTGCAGCAATCATTGTCGACAGTGGCTCTACCGATGGCGGCCCTTATAAACTCGGCATGGGCAAGATGACTTGCGGACGAGGCTCGTATGTCCGAGATTTGGAGCCAATACTCGAAGCATGCTTCCACCACAAGATCAAGGCTCTCATTGGATCTGCTGGTGGTGATGGCAGCAACAAGCATGTTGCTGAAATGCTCGACTTGGTAACGGAGATTGCGGAACGGAAAGGCTACTCATTCAAGGTCGCCACGATACAGGCCGGCATGAACCGCGAGTGGATTAAGTCTAGGATATCACAGAATCGCGTTGGTCCTTGTGGTCCGGTCGAGCCCCTTCTTCCCGAGGTGGTGGACGGTGCTGTAGACGTTGTTGCTCAGATGGGCTCTGAACCGTAAGTAAAGGTTTCAACATGCAAAGGGCTGTCACTGACAAAACAACCAAAGTTATCTGGAGGCTTTAAAAGAGAACCCTGACATCATTATTGGAGGGCGGTCTTATGATCCAGCCCCGTTTGCTGGTTTCTCGATCGCCAGAGGAGTACTCCCAGATGTGGCTTGGCACATGGGCAAGATCATGGAGTGCGGCGGCATCTGCGCTGTCCCGAAAGGGCGATCGATGATCGCAACGATGAGAAGGGATTCCTTCGACCTTACTCCGCTGTCTCCGGCAGAGAGATGCACTCCTCTCTCCGTCGCTGCGCACACCTTGTACGAAAAGACTCGGCCCGATCGTCTCCCAGGACCCGGAGGCGTTCTCAACCTGGACGGGGCGAAGTACGAACAAGTTACTCCGAAGACTTGTCGAGTGTCCGGCGCCAAGTTCGAAATCACGCCTTATCAGGTCAAGCTGGAGGGCGTCAGTCATCTGGGATACCGTACGATCTTCATTGGAGGCATTAGAGACGCCATTCTTATTGACCAAATCGACAACTTCCTCGAACGCGTTCGAGTGTACTCGCAGAAGCTTTTTCCGGAGCTAGACAAGTCTGAGCAATGTCAACTTCTGTACCACGTATATGGCAAAGACGGAGTGATGGGCCCCCTGGAGCCGGTTCAGGCACGCCCGCACGAGATCGCCGTCCTCGGCGAAGTGGTCGCTCCGACCTCAGAGCTGTCCCACACAATCGCCAACAACGTACGCGCTTCCATCTTACACTTTGCGTACCCCGATCAAGTTGCGACGACGGGAAACTTTGCCAGCCCCCTTTCCCCACACGAGCAAGATGCTGGAGCTGTCTTCAAGTTCAGCCTCTATCACCTGGTGGACTTGGATGACGGTGAAGAGGCCTCCATCTTCCCCATTTTCACTCAAACTATTGGATCGTCGCAGGCATCTCCTGAGCCAGTCACTCACCTCTCTCCTGATGTTTTCAGCAAGATCGACAACGGAGAGCTCACCCCCTTGACCTCGAAGTCTGTTCCCCAAGAAGAGGCGCCCTTGAGTCAAGTTGCACGCATCATCCGATCAAAGAATTCTGGTCCGTTCGAAATGACTTTCGATGTCATGTTTGACGACGAATCTGTTTACAGGCGCGTAAGGGAGGCTAATGTATTCACCAACGAGACGATCAAGAAGCTCTACCGTGTTACGGACGACGATATCCTGACTAATATGTACTTTGACCCTGCCCTCGCCTGGAAATGTACTATCAAACGGCCATGGGCCCAAGGCAGCGTCGGCGAGCGCGACACTCTTGGAACACAGCAACATGCGCCACTACTTGGAATTCGCATACCTGCGGCGAAGGCTGCCGTTCAGCCCAAAATAAACGGTGTCGCTATGGCTTCCAGCACAGCCATACCCCGTGAAGACTATTCAGCTCAGGATGTTGTTCAGGAGATATGGAAGGGGCTTGAGCTCCCTGCTGAAGCTCTCAGCGCGCTCAATCTTGAAAATGATGGGGCACCAACCCTGCCCTCCTCCTTCAAAATTGGTGTCCTTGCTCAGAGTTCCATTGCCTCGTCTGCACTCGCAGCAGCTCAGATCCACGCCTTGCGTAACGAATCTTCTGTGCCTGCCGTTGATGTTCCCCTCGAACATGCGACCGTTGAGTTCAAGTCCGAAAGACTCTACATCCTCGATGGGAAGCCAACCCCTTCCCCCTGGGGCCCCATTGGAGGTCTACACAAGACATCTGACGGACATGTTCGAGTACACGACTCATTTCCGAACCACCGAGATGGCATCCTCGATCTTGTTGGCTTACCCCGTAGCTCAACCAGAGAGCAATTGTCTGAGAAGCTGTCGGGATGGGCTAGTATTGATGTTGAAACTGCTGCAACGGTCGATGGCAAGCTAGCGACGTATGCCCTGAGATCGTATCGACAATGGGATGCCCTTCCTCAGTCTAGAGCCATCAGCAATTTCCCCATCGACGTCACTCAACTATCTCCCGAAGGACCCGCCGGCTTACCTGCAAGAATGAGAAGCGGCAACACGAAATGTCTTCAAGGCCTCCGGGTAGTCGAGATGAGTCGCGTCATTGCCGCTCCCCTATGTGGAAAGACGCTCGCGGCCCATGGCGCGGACGTTATCTGGGTCACCTCACCAAACCTGCCTGATCTTCCGACCATGGATCGAGACTTTGGCCGTGGCAAGCGGACCGTTCAACTCGATGTCCACAACCCCTCTGACAAGGAGAGATTGATCGAGCTGATCAAGACAGCGGACGTCTTCATTCAGGGGTTCCGTCCTGGCAGTCTTGCCAACCACGGACTGTCACCTGAGGAGATAGTCAAAATAAACCCCTCCATCATCGTCGCCAACATGTCGGCATTTGGGCCACAAGGGCCTTGGTCCGGTAGGAGAGGCTATGATTCGCTTGTGCAGACCTGCTCGGGAATGAACGTCTCCGAGGCAGAGCATGCTGGAAAAGGGGAGGCAGCGCGTCCAACGCCATGCCAGGCGCTTGACCACGCCGGCGGATACTGGCTCGCGACTGGTGTAATTGCTGCTCTGTACAAGCGGGCAACCCAGGGGGGCTCTTGGCGTGTAGACGTCTCCCTGGCAGGTGTGATGAAATATTTGCGGAGTTTGGGACAGTATAATGGAGCGACAGGCTTCGAGGTCAAGGACTACGAAAAGCCAGAGAATGTTCGGGATGAGCTTTTCGAGACGAGAGACACGGGCTTCGGCTCCATGACGGCCATCAGACACAGCGCACATGTTGATGGGGTCGAAGTCGGCTGGGACGTGATGCCGAAGCCCTTGGGTTCTGATTCCCCTGAATGGATTCATTAAAGTTTACTTCATTGTCCGGAAGATGCGACACATTTACCGAAATCTAGTTTAGAATAAGATCTCACTTCCATAGAGAATCATTCGAGAAGCCGTGTTGTACAACAGAGTTGGAAGAAAGCGGGAGTATGATATTCGTGTTGGTGAGTCAGAACCTCGCACCCAGCACGACCAATAAAGGGGAGAACTTTGAAATCAGTCGTGTGTCTCAACTTAGCGGTATTGAATCTTATTGCAGTTGAAACTGACTTGAAGCCGCGAGTACTGAAATCCCCTTTTATTAAGATTCTGCTGGAACAACTGGATCATGTCCGCCTGGCCCCTGGCGGCATAGGGTCATGACTGAGAGGAGACGGGATGCAAGAAGTTGTACTTTGGCATCAGAACTTTCGTGCAACGGTCGTTGCTACTATTCCACGATAATTCGAGAGCCAAATCCCTGCCCATCTCTCGGAAGAGTCTGCCAAAGAATCAGGAAAGAAGCCAATGGTTCTTGATCACGGTTAACCTGACAATTGATGATGCGCTCTTACACTCAATATTTTAGATTTAGGCTAAGTCTTATGAGTTACATGTCACTTGCCACCTTCGGCGCCTATGTTCCCAATTCGAACATCAAGCTACCGGAATCTCCCCCGTATTCGGTCTCAAGCATGCCTTCTTGCCCCCTTTGTCCAGTCCCCGCCAACGCACTTGCTTCGTTTTGACAACTAAGCTTCTCCGCGCCTTCGTTTTAGGACCCTAATCTTAACCGGCAAAGCGGCAAACACATTCCTATTCTGTTATTGTGGACCTTTCTCTCCGCAAAGATGTCACGGAGATCTGGGCGCGCGGAAATGCTTTAATGAGCAAGTTTACGTGGCCGCCGCAACACCGGCCATCCGCGCGGAAACGCCCACGAATCAGCATCATCGCCGACGTAGCTGCGGGATGAGTCGTTGCGGCTACACTGTGTCAGCCACGAGTCGACACGAACCCGAGCCCTTGGATGCGGCGGCGGCGATACCGAGCGACTGGTGACTGATTCGCGCGGGCCACGTACATCTCCCGCTGCGGGGTCCAGCACAGATTCAATGCGTGGACGCCAAGCTTTTGCCAGTTGAGACTGTTGACGCCTGCCATTTGTCATAACGGCGTCTTTGTTATTACAGATGGAGGTGACAAGATGACGAGGACTTGGCCGAAGTGAGTGGGGATGAACGATCGCCGGCGTATACATCGACAAGGAACTCAAGAGATCATCCATCGTACGGCGATCCCCCGGAGACTATTATTGTCGCATAAATGCCACATGAAAAGTGATACCCAGAGTACCCTGAGATCAACATATTGAGAGTTGGTGAGTTCAGGTTTTCCATGGTTTTCCGAACCATTTCTACTGACTGAGTTTGGTTGTCGGGTTTCTACTATTATTTGTGAGACTTGGTATTGCTCTTATTCAAATAGGCCGGTGCGATAGGGCGTTGCCCAAACCTCCTCAACGCGTGTCAACGCCCGTCTGCCTACGGCCGTCCTCGTCCGATCCCTTCGGTTTTAGCGTTTAACTCAAGCTTTCCAGTTTCTGTCGCGCGGCGGGCCCAAGAAGATGGGAACTCACATGGTAGTCCCTGGAATCGACGGCACGGCGAAGCGCTTGTCCCATTAGTTCGGAATCCTCGCAACCCTCGGCATGTCCTATACGATTCTAACCACCCGGGGCAGCCATACTTGCCCGTGTCGCTCCAACGGAGCTCCGATATCTCCTTGAGATACTGCCGGCGAGGGCGGCTGTTCCCACCAATTTCGTCTGAAGATTCATGCCGTTCGTATGCAATGGTGATCCTCTCGTCCTGGTCACCCTCCGGTAGCCTCCGTACGTCTTAGCACAACAAAACCTAATAAACTTGCTCAACAGCCAAATGGGCTTACTTGGTCAGGTGCTCAAGTCTAATTACTCGTGACATCGATTATGGTGGCGCAGAGAGGTGTGGCATAGCATCAGCAGTCGGAGACACCGCTTTTCAGTTTCTGGCTACTTCATCGCCTATTGACTTTGCTCTAGAGCGGAAAGACTGTCCGTCTGATGCTCGTAACCTTCTGCAGCTTAAGAGCATCTGTTCAATGTGCCCCTCGTTTATACTAGAATTCCGATTTAAGCTTGTTCATATACCTTGAATCATGTTCGGAGTTCAGACCAGGAACCGCAACTTTACCCCGAATGAATGTTCTTGCTAATGCGATTCGCAAGACATCAATTTTATGTCGAGCAGGGAGACGACAATCGAAGTTGTTCACACAGCGTCTGCACAGAACACCTGGCCGGCCACCAGTATCGTGTGTCGATGGAAAAAGAAGCTTTTCCGAAACACGCACTGCCGCCGTCAGCCTGGTAAAATCACACAGACCGCACTGGACACTTGCGGGTATCTCAGGCCAGCTCCTGCGCCGGACATGAGCAGATTCTTCCTACAACTAAATCTTTCCAACGAACATGAGCCAGTTTGCCGCGTGTAGCGAGCTTCCAGTGCGCCGACAATACCAGCAAAGTTCCTTGACTCCAGGGTCCATGCCGAGAGACAACTTTAGTAGGGCGTACGGAGTGGTGGCGGCGACCGAGACCGAAGCGGCCGCTCATGTCACAGTCTCAGTCATCGTTGACGGGGATCGCTCCCACGAATCAGGCACGATGCCGACTGGACCAAGACATTGGGTCAGGTGTCAGGGATACGATCTCTTATGCCCTGGAGCTGTCATTGATGAACGACGTTCGACGTGGACAGAGCCACTTCGGACTGAAGAGGGGTAAAACGTACTCACTTACGCGGCTATCAAGACGCATCTGGAACGCCGTCGGCTTCCTGGAACGGCATGTAAGTCGCTCATCTTTGAGCCGATTTCCCGTAATTTCCGCTTACGATCGAAACTGCATCCAAATGTGCTGATGATTCATCAATAATTACTTGCTTGTAACCATCGGTGCTTTTAGAGGCCATATTGTAAGCTGGCTCTGGTCCGGGCAAGTTATCGGAAGGCATAGTTGAACCAACGCTGAAATTGGCCTTCTATGCATCATCGTATTAGTTACAACACATGAAGCTGTGATACAGGAATCAAGTATGCCTTACTCCGAAGTTGACATGATTGACTAGCAAGCTAAATTATTCACTGTGAGAGTAAAGAGTGAGGCGTACTAGGCGCTAGAACGTCCTACTTTCCCCCACGTTGGTCCGAAATAAGCATAATACCAAACGCGCTACTATTGCAAACAGAACAAGTTTACTCTGCTGCCGAGGGGATTTCGGCCGACACTGAAAGCTTATTCGGCAAAGTGGCCGACCCTTAGTCAGGGAGCTCCTGGTCCAACGTCCCATCTAGACCTTACTCGGACCTTGTCCCCTACGGATCGACGATGCATGAACGTTGCCCTGCTCTGCCAGATCTGCGGTCGTCCAACTCGGACTCGGTGATGGCCTTCTGACTTTGACTTCGTTTGTACGGGGTCGGAAGAAACAGGCCGTCCCAAAGCATAGCGGGCGCCTTTCCTGTTCCTGTCGAAATGGAGGAAAATAGCCGGCTGCATGATGCAGCGAGAAAACTTGCGCAAGACATCGCGGGAAGCGGCATTAGGCTGGTAGACTAAGGCACATCGGCATCTTCTTTTTTGTATAAAGACGTTCGTTCTCTCGCCCTAACCAGTGGGAATTTCTTCTTGCTCATCAGCTCACATCTTGTATCAACTTACATCATCAATTTTATTCACTATCTTGAGTAATAGCTTCTAGCTACCACACTACCACACTACTACAATTAACCCAATACTCTATTGTCTCTTACATAACAACCGCCAACATGCGCTTCTTCACTACCATCGTCCTCGCTACCATCGCTGCCAGCGTCAGCGCACTTCCCGTTGCCCACGAGTCAGACATCACCCCCGCGCTTCCCCAGGGCATCGAGGAGGCCGCTGTCGAGCCCATTGAGGCTAGAGCCAACGGCAAGCCCAACACCGCTGCGGATGTCAAGAAGCACGACGACAACCACGCAAAGCAGAGGGCGGGCAATTGCGGCAAGGGCTGCGACGCCTCCCTCGCCTCATACCATTCTCAAGCGTCCAAGGACTCGAAGAACTCCCAGGCCTCCAAGGCCTCTCAAGCTTCAAAGAACTCCCAAAAGTCTAAGGGTGGCCGTGATCTCAGCGCTGTTGAGGCGACCGAGGCGGAGGAGATGGAGCAGTAAATATGATTCGAGGTTACAGAATATCAGAAGTTACATGGAGTATTAGATGGGGAATAGCGCCGAGATACATAAGTCTTCTGGGTAGTAGCTGTGCTATATAAGACAATGAACGAAACATTTTCCAATTGAATGAAAGTTCTCTCTTTGAATATTCCATACGAAGTTAACAGCACTTATATGTCTCATCAGTCTGTAAAACATCTCAATATGATAAAATATGGCATGTAAGTTTGAAGTTGCTTGTCCTCGCGGTCTTGAACGTGGCAGATCACTACTGCTAGTTTCAAGCCTTCGCCAATGATATAGAAACAGGCGTACAACGGATTAGCAAAACAAATCCATTACATGTTTCCATATTTCCGTAATCCCAGTCTCATTTGATACCATGAAATAGTCCGAGACTGAAGAGAAGAGGTTGACCAACACCTCATCTTGTCACGCACCTTAGATCTCATTATTCATCGGGTATGTGTACCAGAATCTTAAACTTTCATAAGGTTTCTTTAATACGAGACTGCCTATGAACAATTCCATAGGGTGTTGATCACTACGTAGGGAAGGTCTGTGGAAGGACGCCGGACTAAACGAAGCTTAGAAGAAGGCCAATAGCTATCCTGACCTGGAACGCATCGTCAACTTCATCGACACCCAGAATCAGACTTGTTTCAACAATTCCCTCGGGCAACACGCATCCAACAACGGCATCACCTTCAACTTCGGCCACCAAGGACTGCTGAACGTGGCTGGCCCCAACAGCTCCCAGCAACCCTTCAGCTCCAGCAAGCCAGTTCCACATAAAATAGAACCGGCCGTAGGACCCAAGACGGTAGACGTAGCCTACAATGCCGCAGCAGGAGGAATGCGGCAGCGTCGGTGCGCGCATCCCGGCCGACCAAGCATTGCCTGCACCAAGGCCGATGCGAGTGGATCAACGGCCGGCTGTTCTCGACCTGAGCAATCGCGACGACGAAGGCTACCGGGCCTTGCAGAACCGGCGTTTCGAACGGTGGTGTAACGCGCTGTTCCCCGAGAGGTAGCGAGAGATTGTGGAGGAGAGCAAGCAGGCTATGGCCCCCAGGGACGGCGGCGGCGGCGAGGGTGACCGAGATGGCGTGGCATGGGTGCGATGATCTGCTGTTAGTGGACTCAACGTATGATGTTCAGAGAGTGTTCTCTGGTAGGGGTTTACCAATATGTTATATATGTTGGCTCTTGATATCCTATGCTTCGCCGTGTCTAATCGGCCTCATGTCTGTAATAGTGTGAAAAACATGCTGAACAGAAGGCGAACTCTCGCAATTGAAAACAGGCCTTTCCTTTCATTGAGTTTTCCGCACCTTGTCTACCAGGTCCTTTGCACACAGCGCCGCCTCGTTGAGAAACCCGTGAACCTGCCCGACTTCAGGTGCCCATAACTGTCCCCAAAAGTACAATTGCCTGGTCGCAACCTTCAATTCACCGATACCTATGTGTCTCCCTCAACTGACGTTCTGGAAATTAGCTCCGAAAAGTGTACAAGTGACGAGACTGAAATTGCGCGAGCCTCGGAGTTGGAAGGAAAATGTGGGCTGGGCACGATCAACAATCGTTACTGCTGCAAGGGCGATCCGCCTCCCCTCTCCAACTGCCACTGGGTTGGCCAGGGAGACTGTGCAGACAACACCTATAACAACAAGGAAGTTACCTTGATCTTAGACCGGGGCGGCTTAGACGGTACTCTTTGCAACTGTATGTCATAAGCCCCTCGTTCCGACGCGTTTTCGCTGACATTAAGCTTTAACCAAGGGTGGAGGAAGAAGAGTCTATGCTGTACGCCGGAAGAGGACGCGCTTGGTAACAACGGACAGTGTCCAGCGCCGTATTGCACATCAGAGACCGAAGAGGGTTGCGGTCCTGACGAATGGGGCTCGGATCTGCCCAACGAGGAGTGCGAGGATGACGACTGCGAACACGATGAGCTCCGCAGAGATGTCATCGTTGCGCCCCAAGTCGTTTCGCTGGCTGATGTTATCTCCGAGAAAACGACAACCCTCCAGGCCAAGGATAGGAGACGAAAGTTCGATATAAGTATGTTCAACTTTCTGCAAATTATTGTGGCGATGACCATCATAGCCAGAGAGTATCCTGGCGCGGGCTCGCTCCTTGACCAACCTGAGGCCTCGGACAACGTATTCCAGTAAGCAACCTGCCTCCAACAACCTGATCAGAAGTACTTCATAGCCTCAGTTCTAACACGACTACCCATTCAATCAGGCAGGATGCTGGCTGTACTAACCCTGATATCCTTGTCACTAAATACGACACAAAAGCAACGAAGGCGCAGACAGGGAAGTGGCTCGACACAGAGCACAACCCAGATGTAAGCATTTCAACCATCCTCCCCTAACCGATCCAAGTCAAAAGAATAGTCGAACCTTCAGCTAACAGGCGGAAAACAGCTACAATTCACGCCTGATTTAGTGAAATTTCTCTCATCCGGTATTCTGCCGAATGGAAAGCAGTCTGTCTTCTCGCGGATAAATGCCGATGACATCAAAAAATATTGGAAAAAGAAGTTTCCTAAAGGCACTTTTTCCGAAGGCGGGCAAAAGCCAGACTCTCTATACACCAGAGGACTACTTCCAAGATCAGTTCGGCTCTATCGGAAACCGAGCGCCAATGGTTCTCTGCGAGAAGAAACTGAACAACATGAAGGGCAAAATATTCGGGTTCGATGACCCGGTTGCCCGCAATACAATGCGAGACTTGCGTAATGGGGCTTTGACTGGTGATATTTCTGATCAGGATGAATTCTTTAGAGGGATCGCCAGAGTAAGCTTTTACCGCTATCCAGAATCCACACGCCAGCGAAAGCTTGATACTGATGTATTCACTGTGGGCAATTTCGGTGTTCGTCTATCTGAACCACCATGACGTTTTACCAACGGTCCAAGGCAACCGGCAGAATCTGTTTAATGCAGCTCATCTTCTTGCCATGTTGATCATTGAGTTTGCGAACCTGGAATATCTTGTCAGGGAATTTGACGAAGAAGCAGCCAGGAGAACCCGTGCTTGGGCGGAAGAGATGCTGGACGATATACAAAACGCCCTCGCTCCGCTTGTACTCTCCGGCCGGGCACCGCCAAACATGGCTGCCATTAATGCCGCGATAGCAGCCCTGAGAGGTCGACTGGGTGACATAAAGGCGCCGCCACGTAAGTAGCAGGCAGTATCATTGAGTAGACCCGCATTGTGGCTTGAACCAGCCCGGCCAACTTTGGCCCCCAAGTTAGTCGGTTAATTCAGCCGCCCCGCGACATTTGGCTGGTTGGTTGTTTGCTATTTTGCAGCAAGGGTCGGGAACTAGCAGACAGGTCAGCAAAAGACAGCCAGCAGAAGGGCTAGTAGTTGATCAATGACACGCTGATGAACAAGTCCAAAAATCTTAATCCAGGACCACCAATCAAACAGTCCTGCCAAAATCTCATCAGAGACCTCTTCAACTAGGCATCGATCTGCCCCTGCGAGGATAGATCCCGGGTGGGCGAAAATAGGAATCTTCGTCATCCAAGCCGTTTATCCCATGAAGCTGTTCGTACAGGCCCGCCACGTAAAGAGCGCTGCAATACATCCACCCAACATACCTGCGATCGCTGCCATCAATAAGGGAATAGCCGCGATCGTACTGGTCCTCTTCGTCGTCCTCCTCGTCTTCATCCTCATCCTCATCCTCGTCCTCACTCTCTTCCTCGTCATCCTGCTCGTTATCACCATGCTCTTTGTCAATCTCTTCCTTTTCTTTCAAAGCCTTACGAATATCGAACTCGTCCTGGGTGCCATTTGGTGTCCAGGTTCGATCAACGATAGCAAAAACCATTGGCGGCAGTTCCGATAAGAACAATGCTGTGCCGTCGTTTGCTTCCTGGAACTGGATAATAGTGTTGAGGCACTGCTTGTCGACATAAAGACAGTATCGGAAACAGGGCATCTGGATGGGAAATATATTCAGGTAGGCCTTGGTTGGGAACATGGGGACGTTCTGCTCAGACACCCATTGATTAAAGTGTTTCCTAACTTCAACCCGGGAGGCGTTGTTGAGGGTGGCGCGGTCCTCGATAACGACCCGATCTAAGTACTGCTCAAGTAGCTCAGCGCGTTGGTACTCAACGAGTTGGTTATGGCAGAAGCTCTTAAGCTGCGCGAGGTAGCGGTTCCAGAGTTCGTCGTCATCGTATGTACAGCGGTAGATAACGAAGCCCCACTTGTGGATACCGGTGCTGAGCATGCTGAGGCAGGTGCGTTGGTAAGCGTCTCGTCCGTAAGCGGAGAGGTGGGTAGGGACCTCGTCGAGCGTGCGAGCCTTAAAAGGGTCTGGTTCCATGTTATGTAGGAGCTGGTGGAAGAAAGGTTTATAAGTAGGAGAGAGAAGGAATTTAGAAGTTAGGTGCGCAGGTTATATATTTATACCTAGGGGCGTAAGTTAGCCTGCATTAAGCGTAAAGCTTATATTAGGTGTCTATTTAAGAAACTAGCTTCTACTAGGTTTATTACTAATAACTCTATAGCTTAAGCCTTTATATTATAAAGTTATAATTTATGCTAAAGTATAGCGTTTTAATACTTATTATTTTTTTTAAAAAAAAGGAATTAGAAATAAAAGATTAAATTATTAGATATTAAATAAAATTAAATAATTTATAATAATATAAAGTACGAGTAGTAATATACTATTTATTTAATAATACTTTTTAGAAGAAAGGTTATATTTAGCTACTTATATAATTTTTAAACTACTTATTATGAACTTTTTCTTAATTAAGTAGCTAATTATTAGTTTTAAAAGAACTTTTAAATATATTAGCTATAAAATAAAAGAGAAAGCCTTTAAATCTATAAGTTCTTTCTATTTTAAAAGATATATATATATATATATATATATAATAGATTTTTAATAACAGTTTATTAATTATATATATTATTACTATTAAAACAATCTATTATATAGAAATTAATTAAGCTTAAGTTTAAGTTTAAAACTTAAAACTTAGCTTAAACTTAAAAACTACTTTTATTATATAGAAATAAGTAAAAAGATATAAATATTATAATACCTCTTTTTAAGGGATTTTTATAAAGGTATTTAGGGGCTATAGGCTATAGTTAGGTTAAACTAATAGAAGAAGTACCTAAAAGGTAGGTATAATATTATTATACTACTTTTATTTATTTTTTCTAAGATCTTCTTTTTTAACCTTTTAGTAAATACTTACTAAGTCTTTACTATAGAGGGTTTTATACCTTATTTCTATAAAGTTCTCTATTCTTTTAACTTAATTTAGTTAAACTATTTTTAAACCCTTTTAGTTTAAGTAACTAAACCTTTATAATTATCCCCCTTTTAATTATAATTATCCTTATTATAGAATAGGATTAGTAATAAGTAAGAACTTCTATTATTTATAATAAGCTTTTATAATTACTATTATTATTATAAATTATCTCTATTATTTATATAGTAATTATTTACTATATATTTACTAAAGCTTCTTTATCTCTTAATATTATTATTATTTTTATAGGTTTTATAATTCTATTTTTAGAGTTATATTATTTACTAAATAGGATTTTATTAGAGGTCTTTTTTATTTCTTAAAAAAAGAAATTATTTTTAATAAGTTTTATATTTTTTATTTATAAATATTTTATTCTTTACTTAGTAAGCCCTCTTTAAATAATAGCTTTATAATAATTTTATTTTTTATCTTATTTATCCTCTTTTTAAAATAGATATATTATAAAACTATTTAGAATATTAGATAGTAACTATTATTATTAATTTATTATATTTATTTTCTTACTTTTAGTAGTATTTACTATAGTAAATAACTACTATTTTTACTATTTAAAGTTATAGTTACCTCTCTAACTATTTAATAATACTTTATATTTATCTATAAAGTAGTACTNCTTTTTTTCCTACTTAAGGTTAGTTTTTTTTTTTTTCCTCCTTATTATATTATATTATTATAACTTTTATATTTTATAAGGCTTTATTAAGTTTTTATAAAACTTTTCCTTTTTAATATTACTTTTATAACTAACTATTATAAGTATTAAAACCTTAATTATTTATATTTTAGTATTATATAAACTTAATAACTTAGTAAAGAATAGTAATACTTATTAGTATAACTAATTAGGTAGTAATAAGTTTTATATCTCTTATACTTTATAGCTCTACTAAACTACTAGAGTAGTATATATTTATACTAATATAAGTAATACTACCTATTAGATATATTATTTATATA